TTAGACTCATAATATTCATAGTCGTCTGCTTTCTTTGGTTCATAAGGTATAACAAGTTTGTATGCTTTACCTTCTTCGAGTTTTGAGAACCTTCTGTCAAAACTTTCTTTGACTGCTAACAAACCTTCTATGTCTAAGTCTTCAAATTTCGCACCATTTTTAGTCACAATAGCAAACTTAACTGGTTCGATGTTCCAAACTTTGCTGAATGAAGACTTTTCAAAATGGTAGAAGTAAACATTCAAATATGTGAATGGGTCTAGTTCTTCTTTAAGTCCTGACATGTACTTGTTGACTGAGATGAATTTTGTCATCTTTTCTATCGGATAAAAAAAAATATTTTTTTTAAAATTTACTCAGAAAAATTTTTCTTTGTATATACACCATTCTGTACGTCTAAAAGACTTTTGACATTTGCCAAGAATGTTCGTTTAGACGCTGTCATATAACCATACTCTTGACAATATTGTTTATACGAGTCGTACAATGACCTTTCATCTAAACACTCAAAGTCAGTTTCATCTATGAACAGTTCATATACACTCTTGTTTGCTTCTAACAATGTTTGTCTCTCTTCGGTATGTGGAATTTGTCTTGGATTGAACTTAGAAATATCTAATGTCATGAAATATGAGAACAAGTGGTTGTAAAAGTCAGATGTCAAAGTTTCTGCTAAGTCGTCAAAATATTCTGTATCTTGCATATGAGAATCTGACGTTCTGACAACTACATATCTTCTGTCAGAACTTTCTAACTTCATCGGAACAACATTGTTTGAAACCATAATGAAATTTACAACATTTTCACAAACTCTTTGGTCTTTATATTTTCTTTCAACAACTCCAACTTTGTCTGTTATAAGACTCTTCAAAGCATCTGAGTTCAAAACTTTTGTTGTATCTATACTTTGAAGTTCGTTACATACTATAAGTTTCATATTCTCTATTGAAGAGTTAAATTTACCGCAGATGTTTTCTAAGTTTGTCATATTCGGATTCGAATAACCTTCTAACAGTTTGCACAAAATATCTGTAAAGAAAGTATTCTTACCTGTTCCTTGTTTTCCAATTATAATGAGAGCAGTTTCATTTTTAGCACTTGGATGTTGTAAGATGTTTGCAAACCAACATAAGATATACTCATAGACTCTTTCGTTTCCATTGCATATAATTTCTTTGACATGGTCTAACCAAGCTTCTATAATATTTTCTTTCCATTCTACTTGTTCGTATTTATATCCAGTGAAGATAGAATAGAAGTTTGGAGATGGTGTATAAAACTTTATACCACGAACTGAAAAATCTTCTAACTTTGACAATAAGATATCCCAAGCATCTAACATCTTCATGCCAACTTGTACGACTTTTATTTTCTTAAGTTTCTGTTTACATTCTTGTTCTGAAACTATTGTTGCTCTTGGTTTGTTAAAGACTACATCCCATTCTTTCATAACATAACATTCTGGGGCAGAGTCAACATAAATGACTAAACGTTTCAAATTCTCGACTGCTTTGTTATAGTCTCGAAATGGACACATATTTCTGAATGTTTGGAAGTCATAAAAATCTGAAACATCTATTCTGTACATTTTTATAAAAATAAAAAAAATATTTTTTTTATTCTTGACTTTGTTCTTGAGCTATTTGTTGCATTTGTTGTTCTTGAGCTATTTGTTGCATTTGTTGTTCTTGAGCTATTTGTTGTTGAAGTTGTTCTTGTAATACAATACTTTCACCAGTTGCATCTTCCAATTCGAAACTTTCTGCCGTCATTGACAAATACATAGGACATAAAAGTTTTACAGGAACAAAGTTTGCGTCAACTAAGGTTAAGTTTATGTTTGCTAAAGTGTTTGAGTTCACTAAGGTTGAAAATTCTGCATTCGAATGAACAATAGGCAAACCAGCAGAGAAAGTGTTGTTTATACGCATAAGTATCTTTTGGTCATAGTAGTTTCTGTCGACATTCGAATAGCACTTTGAACCTAAGTTTGAAACAATATATAAAATAGGTGTGCTTAAAGTCAATGGAATAGACATTCCTTGTATGACACCTTTTCCTGTTATAGGAAACTGTTGGTAGTAAAAACCAGATATAAGTTTTGTATTATAGCTCATATTGTTTATAGTAAACTCAGTCGGACATCCAAACATAATGAAACCTGCTCTAGTTGCAGCACATGTTACACTCGTCCTTAAAGTATTAAATAAGTCAACAAAACCTGTTGGTGGTATATCTGAGTAAGTATCTTCAAAGGAGTATTTTTTACCATTCACAACAATAAAATCTTCTGGTGTCAAAAGAGCAAAACAAGCTTTAGTCGTCATTGTGTTTAAGGTTAGTTTACAATATCGTCCTTGAGGACTTTGTAAGTTTGTTGTTATAGAATTATATGACTCAGGGTTTTTAGTCGTAATAGTATAAACCATTGTGTCTTCTGCCATTTACTTAGCAAATAAATTTTAATGAAATGTTGTGGTCGTCAAATATTTTTATAACGTCTGGGAAACTATATTTTAAGTTCAACGTTTCACCTCCTTTCATAACGTATATCTTGTCAATGACATTATATGAAACACCACAGCAACTAACGTCGGGTTCTATTTCTTTGATGTTTATATCGTCTGCCTCTGTCAAAAGTTTCAATAGTTCTTTCAAAACTTCATGAGGTGCAATGACATATGAGTTCACTTTTACAGGGTTGTGTTCGACCAAGTTTAACATTATACCTAAAGCTTGACAAATCTTCTCCTGAGTTTGAAGTTTGTCTTTCAGTTGTTGGTAGTCGTTTCGAATATCTGCAACAGAACTTAAGTCTCTGCTAACTTCAGGATATGTTGGTTGTTCTTTTACAGGAACTATTGTTATACCATCTTCGTCTTCGTATGGTTTCCCCACTTCAACATCTCTTTCTTTGACATTGACAATAACACTTTGACTGTTTGTTTGAGTTGGTGAATTTAACTTCACATCTGCCATCGCCATTAAACCTTTTGAAACACTTACGCTTCTATTTTTCGGAAATGACATTTTACTTAGAATAAAAAGATGGACGTATTTGAGTATCTCTTCGAATTGAAGCAAAACAAAGTTTACACACACAAACAATACAAATACATTGACAGAATAGTTCTTTATACAAACAATGGAAAATGTTATAGAATAGCAGTCTTTGCTGAACCAAAATATTTTCATAAAGCAAAGAAAGTTGGTATAACTGAAATGGTGAAAGTTCTTGACGTTGACAAAAATATAACAACAAAACTTACAGATATTTCTAAAGGTAAGTTTATAATACAATTTTATGTCAAAACTGGCGTACTGTCAATATTTGACGGAGAGAAGTCAGTTCAAGAACAACTTACTGACCTGCTGCCAAAATCTGCTCGATGGAAGCTGTCGTTATGCCAATCTGAGGAGCCCCAGCAGGTTTCATCGAACGAATCTTCAAAAGAGCATCTTCCGTGAAAAGTGCTATTGGTTTTGTAAACTTCTTTGCTCTCAGTTCATATGGACCGTCTCTGTCACCAGTATATTGTATTTGTACAGTACCAACAGTTGAAATACCACCCATAAAGTCTTCTGAGTCAGCAAATGGAATGCCAAGCCAAAAGTTTGAACGGTCTCCATTTGTATATTGAGTTTTTTGACTTCCTGTATGGGTCCATACTTTCACATATGGCATAATAGAACTTTGCATTTCAGGGTTAATGGTTGTTGTGAAGTTGTTGTTAAAGTTCATAGCATCTAATGTCAAGTTGTATGACCTCATATCCTCAACTGTAGAATATTCTTTCTTGGATAGTATTTGCCATCTATGTTTATATGATATTTAATACCAGGGTTGTAGAAACAAGAATAGTCATTTATAGTTCGTCTGAACAGTACAAACATAGTATCTGCATGTTTCATTGCAGTTGTTAAAGCAATATCTGTTCTTGCACCTGGGTCAGCACTTTGGTTTCCAACTTCACCTGCAAAGTCTTTGACAGATATTTGGTGTATAGGGAACATAAGTGGAACTGCAATATATTTGGCAGCTAAAGCATTTGAAATATCTGGGTCCAACATATAGACTGCAAGTCTGCTTTCTATTCTCTTGCATTCAAATTTTTCGCATGTAAACTTAACTGGGTCCCAAGCAGTTCCAGCAGCATTGAAATAATAGTTTACTTCAGTGTTGAGGTTTGAGAAACCAAAGTCTAAGTCAACTTTGTCTTTGCAAAATTCGGCGAATGACGTTTTATTTGTTCCCTCTACGTCTGTAATAGTGAATGGGTCTTGTGTTGGTGCAATGACTAAGTTATTTTTGCTTGGAGTAAGTTCAATAGAAATTTTTCCTGCCCAGTTTGGCAAGTATCTTAAAAACCTGAAGATGAGGAAAGATGACAAAGGAACTCTAAGTTTCAGTTTTACTTTGGTTACTGCTGCTGCAGTTTGTCCAGAAAGGTCAACATAAACTCCTGGAACGTTAGGGTCAAGTCTTCTTATTTTCTCAATAGTTGCATACTGGTCTGTTTGTTCTCTAGCTTGTGGTTGTACTGAGTTTCTCAAAGCGAACCATTCATAGTTTGCCCATGTTACTGTTTGAACTAAGTCAGAGTTAGAATATATCTTATATCCCATGAAAACTTCTGGAGCATATTGGTATCCGACATAGAAAATTCCATTGCAACCTTTCTTGTCAGACAACTTGGCAGAAGGTTTTATTTCAATGTCTTGTTCCACGTATAAGAATGAGTTGTCAATAGAAATTATATGAAACCTGTCGCAAGCAATATCTACTGTTGTTGAAGAACCTTCACCAAACTCACCTACATTTCCATAAGAAACAGCAGTTGTATATTCGTAAGTTCCAGGAACTATTTCTGACCTTCTAATGGCATTGTCGCATTCGTTATACCATTCGGAAACATTTCCATTCATGGCATCCAAAACTGTTGGCGTTATATTCTGAGCGGCGTACATTTCATATGGGTAAAAATATAGAATAGTTGGATTTATGTGTCATAATAGAACCCACGTGGACCAAGCTTTACTTTCTTCCTGGCTGAGTTTTTAACTCTTCTTTTTCCTTCATTGCCACTACTTTCACTAGTTGCATCTTCACTACTTTCACTTTGTTCTACTCTTCTCTTCTTCTTTGGTAACTTGCCCTCTGCTTCAAGTTGTTGCATCTTTGCCTCATGTTCACCTAGTATGTTGTAAATTTCCCATGTCCTTTTTGCCTTTGGGCTCTGGTCGCCCATCTCAGGTATCCTATATCCTAGAAAGAGTTTGTCATAGTTTGTATTTGAGTCTTCGCGTATTGTTTGCATGACTCTTTCCTGAGTTTCCGGTTCAAGCTCTTCAAACAGAGCTTGTCCATATGGAATAAGCTCGTTTCCAAATATATGTTTTTGTAGCCATTCTGGTTTTCTTTCCATGTTACCAACAATATCTTTTGTGAATGGGAAAGCTTTTACCCAATGTTTCAGTCTTGCGTCATTTATTTCTGTAGTTGGTTTTCAAAGGAGGGACTTGTTCGTTTCCTTCAGGCTCTTCTAGCTGTTTTTGCTGAACTATTTCTTCCATGTCTGGTTGTATCTGAACTTCTTCCTGTGGAGTTTCTTGTACCTCATCTGCTGGCATTTCATATATTCCGAGACCGTTTTTAACAAGTTCCCTCTCTAAGTCATCCGCATACATAACCCTTTCTTCTTTCGTTCCGTCTTTATTTTTTACGCGTTTCATGAAGAGAGTTGAATTGTCATTTAGCTCTGACACCAAATATCTCGGAGTAAATTCAGTCATGTCATTTGGATGATATGCTATTAAATCATATCCCTTAGCGAGCTTGTATTTTCCAGGTTTGAAATTATATCCCATTTGGTGCTGAACCATAAAGCTAAATAGGTTCGGGTCAGTATTTCCTTCCTTGAACTTTCTAATAGCTTCTTTATATCTGTCACTAAAGTCAAGAGTATCTGGGTAACCATAGTCTTCTTTAAGCATTTTTAAGAAATCTTGGTTTCCTTGTTCTCTACTTCTTTTATGTCCTTGCTCTGTTTGTGGTTGTTGTTGTGCAGGGTTTTGAACTGTTGGTTGTGGTGCAGTGTTTTGAACTGTTGGTTGTTGTGCAGGGTTTTGAACTGTTGGTTGTTGTGTTGGTTTTGGTGCAGGGTTTTGAACTGTTGGTTGTTGTGTTGGTTTTGGTGCATGCCTGTGTCTGTGTCCATGTGACGATGTAAATGTTCTAGGTAGTCCTGGTGCAGGTGCTTCTCTTGGAGGGTTTGGTGGTATATAAGTTCCACTAGCTAGTATATAAGTTCCACCAGCTGGTATATAAGTTCCACCAGCTGGCACATATGTTCCATCTGCAGCATAGTGTCCTACCTGACTTTTCGTTTTTAAGAAAGCATTTACTAGGTCTGTTTTTGGTCTGTTGTAACTCTTTTTCTTGACTTTCCACAACAGTTGCTCTAACGGCGTCATAGGCACTTTGAACTGCCTGTCTCGTTGTTGCATCTGTTATTTTCGTCAGATTTTGTGCTACTTCTCTTAACTCTTTGTCGAAACCTTCAGACTTCAGTTTCTTTCCAGATGAGAAGTCGTTCACTTGTTTCACCTTACCTATGAAGAGCTTCGAAGGCGTCTTAAAGTCAGCATTCATTAAAGCTTCATTTGAACTGTCTTCACCGCTTGTATTTTTGTCCTTATTGACCCTATAAGCTGGGCTGCTTTAGCGTTGGCGTTGGGCATCTAACCAGTCATTGTTAGCTTTTATATATTCTGCGCTTTTCATTGCCTTTTGCATGGCTGCGTCGTTATTTTTACTTTCTTGTGCTAAGTTTTCATACTGTACGGTTTGGTTTTGCAACTGTAAAAGTTTTTCTGCCTTTACATTTGCTTCAACTTCTTTTTTATACTCATCGCTATCCATATATGTCTTCAGGGCTTTTTGTTTTATCTCTTCATCTTTCAGTACTTTATATTGAGTAAGTATGGTTTTTTCAAATTTATGACATCTTGTTCCATTTTGCTACTTCTGCTGCTTTTTCTGACACTTTTTTCGCATATTCCTCTGTACTTAGTTCTTTCAGTTGTTCTTCTTTCTTCTTTTTCTCTACGTTTAACTCATTGAGTTTCTTTGTGTGTCTGTCAATTCTAGTTTCTTTTCGTTTTCACTTATTTGCTTCTGTATGTCTATGTTTGACTTTTTGACATCTGATATTTGATTTTTGAGTGAACTCAAATTCATTTGACTTTGAGGGTTATATGCTGTTCCGTCTGCAGCTCCACCATAGCCTGCCATTTTCGCTAAAAGTGCCGCTCTTAAACCTCCACTCTGTGCACCAACAACTCGGTTTAAAAGCATAGGATTGCTTGACATTTGTTGCAACATAGTGGGGTCATTCAGCATTTGTTGTTGCAACTGTTGTTGTGGTGTCAGTTTTACTATTGGATGTTTCAATGCTCTCTTCCTCTTACGTATATTCTTACGTAGCTTACGTGGCATTTTAAGTGAAGTTAAAAAGCGGTTTTTGACAGATGTTTATATGACACTTTCTCCGGTTTATAGGACCTCTCTCATATTCTATCTTGTCATATCTAAACTCATAGTCATGTATGTCCTCTAACCATCTCATAACGGTTTCCAAACCACTTTTATCGGATGTAAAGTAAAAGCATGGATGGTTATGTAAAACGTCTAAAGTTTCTAAAGAGTCTCTCAAAGTATACTTCCTTGGAACGCCCGTAACTTTTCTGTAGCGACGATAGACCCTTACTTGTCCGGACAAAGTTATACTATTTTGAGTGCTCTACCAAAAATTTTTTATGGGCTAGAGGGCGCAACGCGCCTGGAGGCCCATCCCAAGAAAAAAAAACTTCAGGGCTAGAGGGCACGAAGTGCCTGGAGGCCCCACTACCTTTTTTTTTTTTTTTTTTTTTTTTTAAAGTCCCGGAAGAATATATGTGCCTATATGAAATTATACAAAAATGAATCAAACGCATTTTAAAAGATTGTTCTTGTATTATAAATGCTATTCGCAGATTTATTAGTTGAAGAAAATTACCAAATTTTTGCCGATTTACAAAAAATGATTTACAAAGCATATTTTTATAAGGCTTTAAAAATCTTTAAAATGTGACCGGTGACGGAAATCCATGGTAACCAACCGCGGTTCCCGTTTGGAATGCCATACTTCATATAATATACACATGTTCATGTAAAAACTTTTTTCCAAAATTCTCAGGAATTAAGGGATTTTTGAATTTTAAGAATTTTTTTCGAATTTTTTCGAAAAAAAAATATTTTCAGAACAGCCTTAACGGCTAAGATTTAGGAACAATGTTAAGTATCAAAAAGAAAGGAGGTCTGATATAGACAACATATATCGTTGAAGGTTGAAAAAATCTCTAATATTTGAGCCAAAAATTTCAAATTTTAATTTTTTGAAAAAAGAGGCCACCCGTATGTACGTTTATTTGAGAGGAGGAGGATTATATTTTTGAAAGGGTGAAACATTATGAATATGTTAATTATATAATAATATGTATTATTATAAAAAAGAAAAAATAAAGCACGTTAAAATTTTTCTTTCTTGATTTTTTACAAAATCTACTTAGAATTATGCAAAATATGACTAAATAATTATAAATTTCAAGTTAAATTTTAATTTTGATAAATAATTTAAATTTCAAAATATCAAGTTCAGTTCGACTATGTATGTAGTAATTCCTCAATAAAGTGCCAAAACCTTATTAAAATATATGAACATTTTCAACATTTTAATGTTTTTATTTAAAAATTTGATGGAATATGAGCTTCAAACAATTATTATGTAAATAAAAATAATTAAATATATGTATTTATTCGTATTACAACCGTAGTAAGTCGATTCTTCCTTTCTTCTACTGAGATTTGAATTTGATTTCGAATTGTAAAGAGATTCAAAGGGAAAATACTAGCGGATAAAAACTACCTCCATGAAAGGGTCATAATGGAGTCAAGTTGTATTTTTTGATATTTTTTTGCTTTTCGAGCCTAAATAGGTAGCCAAGATAATGCCTAAAAATAAGGTTCTAAATTCTGAAGTTTACATGATCCTCTCGTGTGCACCCTTAATATCATAACTGAGATTATGAAAATATACTAAACTTTTATCAGGAATTTTTTCCAAAAATTTTATTGCACATTTTTCACCCCATAGGCTTTCGCCGATTTTTCCATCTTCACTGTCATAACAAATGTTAAAGGCTTTATGAACTCCATCAGTGCTGCATTCAAAGTCAGCAAAGAAAACGTGTTCATAAATGAATTTCTTTTTTGATTCTGAACTATCTTTACTCTCTGGCTTTTTCTTTAACTGCACACAGTACCTTGGGGTATAATTTAAATCTTTAAATTACTTCTTCATTTAAATTATAACAATTATTTTTGGTTTTATATTTTTTTGGATCAAATCCATTTTAATAGAATTTATATACTATTCATCTATTAGTAAACACTACCGTATATTATTTTTTAAGCTATCTTATTTTTTGAAGTTTTATTCAAATCTTTGGTCGCAAGAAGAATTGCATGATAAATAAAAACATTTAATCAAAGTCAATTTTATTTTTCATATTCAAATGGACTGAGTGTTAACATTTAACATTTTTTGCTAATTGTCGTCAAAAATTAGGCGTAAAGCAAAAATTGATATTTCATATGGTTTTATGATAGATAAGCATTATATTCCCACTCATTATATTCGTAAATTTTGAGGTTTATCCTTCGCTTTTAAGATCATTGAATTTGATTTTTATATAAAATAGTTATATATTAGAAAATAATATGAGTTTATGTGATATTATTTTTCAGAAGATTTCATTCTATATGCCTATGAAAAGTACTCTCAAAACTAACTTTTTCCTAATTATAATTAAATCTAGAATATTGTATTATGCTTAGTATTATTTCATTTTTCTCATTCAATTTAGAATTTACAAATGTCAAAAAATTGAGAGCCGTCACTTTTGATGAATTTCTGTTTATTACAGTATAAATCATATAATCTATATCTATGCAAATCTCATCTAAAATTTTTTGAAACAAACCGCTACCATTTTATAATGGTCCATCTTAAATTCATCATAAATTCTGGTACATGTTAGTACCAGAGTCTTCAAATCTCAAACACTCTGGTACCAACATGTACCAGACGCGAGTTTCCAATGCCCTCGTACGATTTTCTATTAAGATCTTCTTGAATGAGAAGGTCTTCATAGAAACTCGTACGAGGGCTTCTCTTTTAAATACTCTGGTACCTGCTGGTATCGGAGTCGACTTTACAGCCCTTTCCCCAATTTTGAAGCTGGGGAAAGTTTTCAAGCAATGAAAGGGAAGCTCTCGCTATGAGGTGAAAATCTAGAATTTTTACCTGTTGTGCATGAAAAATAGCGTGACTTCACTTTTGACAAAAAGTGACACTATTTATGATGGTTTTGTCATTTATTTGTCAGATTTATAAATGGATAATAATGCTGTAAATCAGATATTAATTAAAAATATTTAAGATTTATGTTCGAATTGAAAAGCAAAATGATATTTTTTTTAATTGAAAAACGTTATTATCTGATATTTTGAAGTTTTTAATATTTGTTAGTATCTTAAATTATTGAATGCATACGTTTTTTATGTTCTCAATTTTAAAAAAAATTGTGAAGAATTTAGTTTTTTGGAGATGGATGTTTAATATTTGTGAGTGAGAATGCAAGCAGGAGTTTGGTACTTTAAGGCTAGGTTGAGATAGATTTCCCATTATATTATCTGTGAATATATTGTTTGAAAATTCAAGATATAAAAATATATTATCAAAAAATTTTATATTTTTAAATACAATAGGGTGGAAGTATAGGACGATGAGATAGCAATGATATATTTTATAATGGGAGGTAATCTGAAGATAAGTAGCAAATTTTATGCGATTTTGATTGGGAGTTGGAGGGTGTGAGTACTATAGCATGTAATAGTATCTCACACCCTCCAATTCTTCCTATGGCGCCGAAAAATTTTTGGTGAAATGCGACGACATTTCACCAAAAATTTTCGGCGCCATATAGAGAACTATAGTCTGCGAGGTACTGATTCTATCTATGTACCTCACAGACCATAGTTCTCAGCCAAAATGTCAAAAATTTCGGAAATTCGAAATAATTTTTTTGAGAAAAAATTAACCGTTTAACATTGCCAAAAATCTAAAAAACTCACAATTTTTTTAAATTGATAACCCTCAAACCGTTTCCAATCAATAATTTGAGAGTCTATATGATAATGTAAAAGTTAAAACATTCATGTATTTAAGTATTTCTTTAAAATATTAAGTTTTTTATTTTTCCAATAAAATTCTAATATCAAATATTTTTATTTAACGATTAATTTTATTTATATTTTTAGAGTTTTTTTTAAGAAAAAATATTGTTAGGGTTTTATGGATTTTCAATTAATATACAAGATAATTCATGAATGTATATATTTCCAAGTTTTTAAGGATGCAACACTTTACATTTGTAAACTGTCAAAAATGAAGTCACGCTATTTTTCATGCATTACAAGTTTTGGCAATTTCGCGAGGGACTTGCTCCATTTGGTGCATAGATTCACACTCTATGCACCAGATGGAACAATTCTTTCGCTGACAGCGGGAAACTTTGTCTGAATAGTTTAACATTCAGACAAAGTTTCCCGCTGTCAGAGAGGGAATGGAAGGGTAAGAGGTATATATTCATAATGTATACCTCTTACTCTTCCATTCCCTCAAGAAAGTTCAAAAACTTGGGTGCAATCAGAACTGATTGCACCCAAGTTTTTGAATTTTGTATAAGGAATTGTTGGCTATGATGTACTGATCATGAATCAGTACATCATAGCCAACAATTCTACCTTTTAACCAAAGATAATTGATTCGTATGTAAAATATTAAGCTAAAATTTCTCTTTCTTTTAGTACACATTCTTCCATTTCGTGTACATGTATCATATATTAAGTACTAGTTATCTATTCTATATCCTTTATCCCAATTTAGATACTCAAAGATAATTCTTTTTCAGAAGAAAAAAAATATTTTCTATTAAACCGTTATTTTTTCAATGTGAGTTTTCAATTTTATTTTTCCTTTTTGCTGCTCAATGCAACATCCTCCACCCGATCCTCCATGCGAGGTTGATCAAGCCATAGGATATTTAGAATATTCTCGTTTTGTTATAGCTGCAGAGCTGCATGGTAACATAAGATTTGTCAAAGACCCACAAAAACTATCAATTGGAACAGGAGTATTAATCTACCACCGATGCGAATACGAAGGCTGCCCAGCAGGCTTTAAATTTATTAAAAATTTCGACAATTACATTTTTAAATCTGCAAACTTAACTCATATTCACTCAGGACCACCACCACAACATAAAAATACACCTACAAGTGGTACTTACCGTGCTTGGATTAAAAAATTTCTCATGAATCACGGAAGTCCACTTAATGCAACACAAGAAGTCAACAAAACGCTTGAAATACCTAAAGATCATACTTGTATTCACATGACTATGAAACAAACTGCAATCAATCAATTGAAATATTATTTACAACAAAAAGATCTTATGAGACCTTTACCAGACATATCTTTAAATCAATTTCAATCTTTACAAAACTATGTTAATCAATGGGAAGATCAACATGATGACCTTATTTATTTTGACATTCAAGGTGAAGATACTGATTTTCCAGACAAATTGGTTTTTATTTACTCTGATAATGATATGATCTCTCAAATTCATGAAAAACCACCAATTTATCACTTAGACTCTACGTTTAAATTAATTATTCATGGATTTCCTTTTTATATATTAGCTACCAAATTTGCTAATACTCATTCTATCCCTTTGTGTTATTTTATAATATATCCAGATAATAATGAAAATATTTCTTTTTGCTTAAGTAAATATTTTGAAACAACTCACACAGAACCTGAATTTATCATGTCTGACTGTGCACTAAACATTTTCAACGGGATTAGGAATTCATTTCCGGAGTGCAATATCTTTTGGTGCGTGCTACATGTAATACGCGCACTTAAAATTTATTTGTGTAAATTATAATTCTTAAAGTTATGGATAAGACATAAAATAAAAGTTCAAAAAACTACCGAAATTTGATTTAAACACAATCATTTATACAAGAAGAAATATGAAAGCATAGATGTCAAATAAATTTCTGAAACATGCTTTGTTTTGTATTGCATGCGTTATACAGCAATAATTGAATGAGTTGCTATTTATTCCAGAAGCAATTAGAGGATCAATCAAAGATGAGTAGCAATCCACACCACATGATATTCTTGTATTCAGAAAAGCGGAATTCCCAATTGTTGGCTGGCCATAAATTCTCACCCATTGAAGCTTCTTCAAACCCTGGAATGCACCAACTCCAATCATAGTGACAGAAGGAGGAATGATAATTGATTTCAAATTCACAGCACTCGCGAAGGCATAATCTTGAATGACCTTTGTTTCATTTCCGAGTGTTATTATTTCAACAGACTGATAATTTAGGCTTGGGATATTCTCTAGTTCTATTGTTAAATTTCTTAGGTTAGGACAATCATTTATTACAAGTGATGGAAGTTTAATAATACTTTTAGGAATTTTCAAATAAGTTAGACTCTTCATATGAAAAAAGGGAGTTCTTTTAAATTCAATGCACGATTCTGGAATAATTATTTGTTGTAATCTCGAGTAACAAAAACAATCGAAGGACAAAATCTTCACAGTATTCGGAACACAATATATACCATTTATTTGAGCAGGAAACGTATATAAAATAGTTTCATCGTGACTAAGCAATGCTTTCTCAACAATTGAATAAGATATAGATCCACTACCAAATATCTCAATCAAATTTGGTATGCAAATAAAAGCATATGGATGCAATGTCGTTAGAGATGATGGCAAATATATATATTTACAATTTGCGTAAATGCAAGCACATGGGCCTATTGACACTAAGCCTTCATTAAATCTCAATTCATTGCCTGCATAGTTTGAAAAACATCCAGTGTCTAATATATTACCTTTAATATACATTAATGATGAAGGAAATGAATAAGACAAGACCAAATCAGCTCCCGAAAAAGCTGCAATACCTAAAATCTCAAGCTTTGATTGCTTTGGGAAAATTACACGGGATAATGAATAACATTCTGCAAAACAAAATGATCCAATATTTTCAAGGAAACTACAGTTAGATAAATCAGCTTCTGAAAGATGACTACAACAATAAAACGAATAGTGACCAAGATATTTAAGTGATGATGGACTTTCGAAAGAAATTTTCCTTAATGTTTGAATTGATTTTAATGCAAAATATTGATTTGATGTACCATTAGCAATACTCACGACATCTCTCGGAATAGTGTACTCAGATACTGAACTTCCAATATCTTCAAGTGTTAGCGACATGCGGAAATATTTACATTTCCATTAATGTCACTTTTAAAATTGATATACATTCCCTATTTTTCTCTGTTAATGAACTTATACCAATATGATGTCTGTTTAAAGTATGAGTTATTGCTTTGAAATAGTATTGAAAAATAAGCTTGTATGTGAAATTATTAAATCTCCTTCTGAAATGTATCAATATTAAGTCACAAAAATTCGAATTATAGTATAACAATATTGAGGATATCGAATATTTTTATGTATGAGGGTCATTCTATCTAATTCATATTGGCGCATCACACCGATAGAAGTTCTAAAACTTGACGTTTAGTGAAAAAAATTAGAATAAAAAATGTTAAAACCTACTTATAAAAATCGTTTACTTGGTGAATACTCTCGAGAAGAGCTTGAAAACGACTTTCTCAAGAATTGCGAGATGCTTGATACAAAAGCACACGAAATTGTCGCACTTGAACAGAAAGCACAACATTTATCTCAGCAATTATCGAAGTTAGCAAAAGATTTACAACAGCAATCTCGTGCTCCAAAGATGTTTTCCGGAAGTCAAGCACCATCAGCATTCAGACAATCTCAAATTAACGTGAAAGAATTACAAGATCAAATTATTGATATACAGCGCGAAATTGATGCAAAACAACAAAAGCACACCAAAATTCTTCGTGATATAAGCTATTTTCAATCCATACAGACAGAGAAAGAAACAAAAATCAAATCCAGATCTTTAACGAAATCAGGTATTTCAAAACCAACACGCAGCAGAGAAGAAATTATCATGATGCTACAAGAATTACTTGCTAAAAATACATTACCTCAAATAGCCAACAGAATAAATTCCGCAATAGCTCTTTTACAAGGAGATTATGAAGCTGCTGAAGAGCCTATGCGTCCCATTTTAGAGCATATCGGTGAAACGACAACATTAACACAATGTATGCAAGAGAAATATGATTTACAAGAAAGACAACAAAAAATCGAAGTTTTACGCGAAAAACTCAACACCCTTCGTCAAAGATACGAAACAATGTTAGCCAAACACCAAGAAATGTCCAAACAATACGAAAGCGATGCAGTACAAACAGCTGTTCGAAATAAGGAAATTCATGATCTCCAAATCCAAAAAGAAACCAAAGAAAGAGAGATGCAAAAGATTGCTGAACTAGAAATAATCGCAACCAGCCTGAAAAGAGAGATAGAACAGCTTGAAGAACAAAAAGATCAATTACAAAAAACAACTGTTGCAAGAGCTCAAAAAGTACAGTCACAAGTCATGGAGGCTCTTGATAAACTACGCGCTGAAGCAGATGCCGTCAATAAAAGATGTGCAGAAGCACGTGCAGCCAATGATGAACTCGAAAAACAACTTGCAGAAGCAGAAAAAGAAAGAAATGAAGCTGCTGCGAAAAGAAGAGAGGCGGAGACCGAATTTGAGAATCTCCAGGATGAATATAAGACAATAGCAACTAAGTATTCTCAAAAAGTTGATATGGGGCAGAAAGATCCATTTGAAGATAAAAGATTTGTAAAATTTATCGCCAAAATGAAGGAAAAAGGATGGACTCCTAAGACAATAAAAGAGATGAGTGCAGAAACAGAAGATTTAGAGCATAAATTGTCTGATTTGAATACGAAAATTTCAATTTATGAAGCTGCAGAAAAAGAATTGCAAGAAAAACTTGCTAAGAAGAGAAATAAAATTCAGATTCTCGAAGACCAGCTCAAAGGCGTTAAGGTCAACTTAGAAAATGAAGAACCTAAAGGTCCTTTGCAAATGCCAGATTATACTGAAGGCGCTCCCTCAATTGACTTCTCTCCAGTCAATCAATTACCTCTTAAAGAGAACCAGACAACTATTGCTATACTCTTTAAGGAGTTCCAACTCGATAGAACAGTTACAGTTGGAAAACCTTCAGAAGTCTTCTTTTTTGTTGAGTTTCTTGAGAATGATCCAAGAGAAACTAATCATGTTCCTTGTGATGGCAAGGTATTTAAGTCCAGACTTGACTTTGTTGTGAATAATGATTTCATATTAAGAGAATATATAACTAAAACAGCCGTTCCGTTGCAATTGAGAAGAGATAGAGAAGGACAAATAACAGAGGCAGCAAGAAGTGAACTTAATTTGCTTCCATTGACTGTTTGCAATGGATTTTCTGCAATTTCCAAGATTTGGAATACAAGAGGCAAAGCGGTAGGACAAGTCAAAATAGAGGTATCAATACAGCATCCTTTAGCTCCACCAAAGAATGAAGATGAAGCTTAATTATGAATTGTATTATAATTTATTGTTATTTTGTAAGTAATAAAATGATATGATTATCATAGAAATGATTTTTTGATTCCGGTAGAGGTATTAGCTAATCTCTTGATATGTGAAGCCGCTTATCAAAAAATTTCGAAATTCTTGAAATTGGATCTGAGATGTGTTTTTGAGAGATTTTTTTCATTTTTGGAGAAGATACTTTTGCATATTGCATTTTTTTATTTCGGCGCAAAATTTGAATACTTTACGAAATACACGTTAAATCCAAAATATGAGTACCATTACCAGACCTATTACAGCATTAATGTACCCAAGAGGTACATGCAAAGCGCAAACTTTTTATTTTCGTGGTGATGACATTCATAAGGAGCCAGAATTTTTAGATAACGAATATCGTTCTGCCAAAATTCAATTTGATAGGCTTAAAATAGAATTAGAAGCAGAAAAACAAGAATACGAAAAGATTCAAGCCGAACTAGAAAAAAGAGAAGGCTATACAGTTACTTTGGCTTCAGCATTAGGTGATGAATCCCACCAAACAGAAGAAAACGCAAAATTACGCCAACAAATCATTCAACTCCAAGAAGAAATCGATAAATTTGACGCAGAAATTGCAGAAGCAAAAGAACAGCAACATCCAGGTTTATTAGCCCAATTACAAAAGGAGAGAGCTTTCTATAATGCCGAAATAGAAGATCTCAGAATCGCCATATTTACAGGAATTGATAACATTAGAAGAGATAAAGAGGAAATTGCAAATTTGGTTCAATCTGATGAATATACTTCTTCAAGCATGGTAAAGAGTGATAGAATGGCATTCCAAAGATTTTATAATCAACTTAGACAAAAGATGGATAAGCAATTTGCAGAATTTAGTGCAAAACAATCAGAAGAAGCTAGAAAACGCCAAGCAAGAGGAAAATTGCCATCTCCTCTTGAATCTTTATGCTACCAAAGATCAGACGCAATTCTTGAAAAAGAGGAAGTTCTAAGAAATAAAGATTTCGCGGAACTTAGAAAGAAATTAACAGCTCAAGTACTTCTTGATCAAATTGAAACAATGAACCAAGCAATTATAGCTTTGGGCGGTGAACCTACAGAGACAGAATCACTAAAGGAGCAATACGCTCCACCACCACCTCAATCTTCAACAGAAAGATCGAGAGATGTGCCCCAAGAAAAGACACAAACCAGACCAGCTACAAGATCAATGCAAAGAACTTATAAGGACATTCCTAAACCAAGAGCAAGAACATCGATGTTATCCTCGAAGAAGTAATGATTGTTACATATGTCATTTTATTAAAATTCCATGTTTTTTATTAAACTCATCTCATATCTATTTGTTTTACTCTTCAAATCCAAATTGGTATTTTGATATTTCTGTTGAACTATCAGTAAGAGAATATAGTATCAACTGGCTATTCATGATGACCATTTTCGAAATTATCTTTGTTATATAAGCAGTCAAGAAATTATATTTTAGAAGGAACTTCATTGCGCCAAAATTTCAATTCGGACTATTCAAAATTTATTTGAGATAAAAAAATTGGCGCAAATTAATTTCCCTTATTTTCTAAAAATATTATCCAATCATATATGCATAGTGTATATTTCTTTTTTGAATGAAATTTTCGCGCCAAATATTGAGAACGGAAGAAATTTTTGCGGGCTTTCAGAAATCATGAGCGCAAATCATGAAGCTGGCGACATCTGTTCATCACCAATAGCAGAGAGCGGTGAGCACTACGAAGGTGCATCTGTTAATGTAGGAGTATCTTATAATTTCCCAAAGCCTGCCGAATACGATTCCTGGACACCATGTAAGAAACAATCTTGGGATCAATTGCAAACAAATCCGAACGGTTTCTTCTACAGACATGTGCTTCCGAATGAGAAGAGAAAGAATGGACCTTGGTCTGAAGAAGAAAAACAATTATTTATTGAAGCCCTACGCAAACAACCAGCAGAAAACACCCATTGGGGTCTATTTGCCAGAAACATCCCAGGACGAGTTGGATACCAGTGCAATGCATTTTACAAGAAACTCATTGCAAGTGGAGAGCTCCAAGAAATTGCACCTGACATAAAATTTACGCCATTACCTGCTAAGGCCGTGGATGAAAATGGAAAGGTCATTGTTAGAAAGCGAAAACAGCATATAACGATTGGCGGTGTCGAGGTAATTCCAGGCCGCGATTCGTTTGCCTCTGAGTCACTCTTAGAATGTGTAGATATTGAACCAGTTGTTCTTAAAAACCAACCAGAAACGATTTCATTTAGAACTAATGTTCTTCAAGCAAGTCCTCAACTTAGAAAGCATTTCATATCTTCTTCTACTCTTTTCTTCTAAGTATACTATTATGTTATAAACCAATTTATCTGTTATCATATTTTTTTATCAAGCATCATGCATTAATAACTTTTTATGGCGGTAATTAGCTATTCACATCTATTCTTAAACTGCCGTGCATTTATTACATCCCTTAGTTAAGTATATTATAATAAATTCTCATAAATCAGACAAGGAACGTTGATGCTCTATTTTATGAATCTTCTAACACCATATTATATATGAAAAGTATGCTATTGTATATAAAAAATGTAGATTTTGAATCGTAAATTTCAATATTGAACTAACTGAAAGAAATTCTATATTACAAACAAATGCATGCTCTCTTTGATGAATCTTGTATATAAAAATAATGTAATATAGTTATCAAACAAATTACAAATGACAATTTAAAAACATATAAAAAAACAACAAAATAATTAATATTTTCCTCTACGATTTCCTGCACTTAACTGAGCCTGAATGTCTGCAATTTCTTCCTTGACCTTTTGGATTTCTATGTTCTTATCCTCAAGCTCGCGTTTATGCTGTTTTTCAATCATTCTTTTTTCTGTTTCCCACTGCTCTTCTAAATCATTAGTTACTCTGGATAAAGCTATTTGTCTCTGTCTTATATCGCTTTCCATTCTCATAATCGCATCAAGAACTCTATCGGATTTCGGATCGCCTGTTGACTTTGGTTTTAATAGTTCAGCATTCTGTGCTTCAAGAGATGCAACTTTAACTTTCAGTTCTTCGCATTCTGTTCTGTAATCAGCATTAGATTGCAAAATTTTCAATTCTGCTTCCATTGTTTTCATTTTAATCTGCATTTCACTAACTTCTATCATATGTTGCTTATTGGCTTCTATCAATTTAGTGTTTGCATCATCAAGTTGTGTTTGTAAAACTTTAGATTTCGAAACTCTTTCTTTATTTCTGTTCTTTATTGCAGTATTTTCTTTGTTTGCCTCTTCAAGCTTTTTAGTAAGCTCGGAAATCTTGTTTTCTAACTCTTTAACCTTCTGAGAATTCTGATTTGATACAGGAGGTTGATAATTTCTGATTTGCTTGGGTGGTTTTGGAGCAGGAGGGTCTGGTTTGCGTGTTTCACGTACAGGAGTTTCTCCTCTAACAGGAATCTTTGTTTTTGGAGCAGGTGTTGGCTGGTTTTTCTGATTTTTATCGTTAGTAACAATACATTCAGGATCAATAATAGCAGCAAGCTGTTCTAATGCTTCTTCTGTACCACTTTGGCGTTGGTATGCTTGTTTTAAGTTCTCAATCAAATGATTTATTGCTTTATTTTGTTCTTCATCTGTATCCCATTGTTCTAATTTTGTCTGTGTTGTGTTTGGCTTTTGATTTGCTTGTTGACGATATTTTTGTAATTCAACTTCCAATTCGTGATTTTGTTGTTTAAGATTTAAAATTTCTGATTTTGATTGTTTAACATAGGCATCATATTCTTCTTTTAGTTGTGTAATATCACCTGACATGCTAATTTGATTCTCTAATTCGATAATTTTCTTCCTTAAATCTGCATTAGTTTTTTTCACATCAGATTCACCAGAAGAAAGCTGCTCTCTTAATTTTTTGTTTTCTGCAGTCAATCGTATATTTTCTTGTTCATATGCTTTTTGAATCATAGGCTCTGGATCAGTCCCTTCCATTTTAAATTGATTTTCAATGATGTCCGTTTAAAATGTCACTTTTCGATCCATACTCATCAATTCTATCTTCGCGAGACTTTACATAATAATCTTTGAAATCGAATATTCATCAATCTTTTCCTATAATCAATGTATGTTTATTTTGCAGAAGTTGGCATAACCATCTGAGGCCAGAAATTATATAACAAAATTGATTTTGTGGACTAAACAATTGTGAAAAGTTTATATCTTGACACTATAGATAATAAAACTTTATTTCCCTTTTCCCCCACAAAAAGAAACATGAGCGCTAGTCGTTCAATTTCTGAAATTCCCTTCCTTTGATTACAATTTCATTATAGTATACCATCTAAATGTTCATTTTATATGTTGACTTGCAAATGGAAAAAAATCCAACTTTTTTTTTCATGGTCCAAATCACTAAATTTTGCAATGAATTAAAGCGTGCAAATGTTATTACCGAATGTGGTGTATTTCATATGAAAATTAATGATCGAAATATCAAAACAAAGAAGTCATCTGCTATTACTTTTTCAGATTTAATCAAAGAAAAGTATTTCATTGATAAATCAATAACATCATTGGAAACACATCTCAATATTATGTGTCAAGATTCAATTGATATCGTTTTAAACTTTATTGAAACAAGAAAACTTGAATTTTCCGCAGATGAGTCTCATTTTCATGACATATTTGAAATTGGCAAATATTTTGGAAATCAAATACTAACACAAATTTATTCTGAGCATATTAAATCTGATGAATCTCTGACGAATGAAAATGTTTTTAAAAAATACGAAGTTTTGCTTTAGAAAATGATTACACGTCAATGGATGAATGCATTGAGTACATTTCTTCACATTTTTACTCTTTCAATGATGATGAACTCACTACAAATTTTGTCAAAAATGGATTTGAATTTTGTGAAAAAATTTTGACATCAAAACAACTCAAAATTGAAAATGAAGACAAACTAAGTTTCATACTTTTAGAAATATGCAGAATGAATAGATCATTATTTGATTTATTTGCACATGTCAATTTACAATTTTGTTCATCCAAATTTTTTGATGAAATTTATAATTTTCAGTTGAAAACTCATTTGAATCCAGTCTATTAACTATTTATAATGAAACATTGAAGAATTATCATTTAACTCATAATAAACCTAAAATTACAGATCAATCTATCACATCTTTCGAAAAACATTTAATTCACAATCAACTGAAAATATCAGATCAATATACAAGCTTTGACAATGAGCATGAAACAAAATTTGTAGAAAAAGTTTCTAAAGAAATTAAAATGGAAATTACAGCTTCATCTGTTGAAAGTGGAAATTTATCAATAATAAATTCTTATTCAGATAAAGATTTCTATACAAAGAATCACCCTAATTCATGGTTAAGAGCTGATCTAAATGGATACCAATTAAAACCAACATCATATTTTATCAGATCATGTTGTAATAATATTCATTATTTATTCAGAAATTGGAAACTAGAAGGAATCAGAGTAGATGGAACATCTGTTATGTTAGACACTAGATCATATAATATTGCACTAAATGAAATCAAGGAATTTCCACTTCAAACTAATGATTATTTTGTTGCTTTCAAAATAACTCAAATTGGAAAGAATGCAAACAATGATAACTGTTTTGATATATTAATGTTTTTGACTTCAAAGGAGAATTAATAAAGATATAAAGATCTATTTATGCATGCTTAATAACCATCACATATACAGATTAATAAGGTAAAGTGATCAATTGTCAAAATCTCTTCAAAAGAAGCCTTATTAAATCTAATTTTGGACATTATATTAATTGCTTTTAACTATTCTAGTAGTATATTGACATGATTTCTATCATCTAATTGAATAAACAATAAAATCTACCAATATAAACTAATGTAAATTAATGATATATATATATATTCGCTTTGAGAAATCCTTAATATATATGATTTATGCCATCATATTGTTCAGAGGAAGTAAATTAATGATAGCTTAATTAACGATGCTTTCTCCAATATAAATTAATGATATATATTTCTTAATGGTCTTAATAAATCCTTAATCTATATGATTCACTGAAAACAAAAGAAATCTAGGAGCCACATAAATTGTTCATAGTCTATAGGATTTCAAAAAAAAATTTCTTTATTCAATCTATATAAATCTATATAAAAATATGTTATTATTCTAGCTTGGATTTGATAATTCTTGCCTTCTTTTGGTTCATTTTTGTCAAAGAATCGATTTGATTTTGGTTTTGCCTCATTATGTTCTTAATTATCTCTAATCTCTCTGGTCCTAATCTTGCAAGTTCTAATTCACTCATAGAAAGTATAATTGCTGCAATCAATGCCCTCTTATTCAATCTAAGACCTTTATTTTCACAGAAACAGACGTATTTAGCGTAAGCAACTACGCAGTCAGAAGATTTACTTCCTCTGAACTGTAATTTAGAGAAAGCAGCGTCGATGTCTTCAATTTTCTGATTAATATTGAAAACTGCGTTAATTGTGCAATAAGCAGCAAGGGCAGCTTGGTATACCTTATCATTAGCTTCTTCTAATACTGTATTAGTGACAGTTTGAAGAATTTCTTCGATTTGCTGAGAAAATTTTTCTGGATTTGCAGGAATAAGGAATCCAAGAGCTCTAAACGAATTCTCCTTGAGGATTGCATTGCTAGATGTCAATCCTTGAAGAGCAAATTGGGATGCATTATCAAAAATTTCAGTAATTTCACTGAAATTCGTTGTCAAAGTGGCCATTAGTCGTATTCCATAACCCTTTATGCCATTTACTCTTCCTCCGACCATTCTGGCTATCTCTGGATAGAGAGTTTCGAGTTTATCAGCTAATTCTCCTTCCATCATCAAAATATAGATATGTATGCATTCTACAAGCGGAGGAAGAATTGTGTCTTCAACATTCTTTAGTTTGTTCGGGCCTCCGATCACAGGAATCTTTCCTCTTAAGCATTCAACGAAAAATTCGTTCAATTCTTTACCAATTTCCTGTGTAAATGTGCAAGGAGACAATGAAAGAACATGGCAAAGTAATCTGAACAATTGGGCCGCAGCAAGTTCACTAAATTGTTCTTTAATAATTGGAATAAGAGTTAAAAGAACAAATGACTTGGTATCGAACCCATAATTAAGGATATTTGGAAATGCGTGCTTGAAACCAATGGAAGCACTCATTTGTTCAACATATAATGGAGAAACGATCATTTGGCTTAAATGATCGATAATTGATGGTATATAGTCTTCTATACTATTAGGGATAACTTGTATCATCATTGACAATGAAACTATTGATGATTGCCTCATTGTTGCGATTTGTTTTTCCATTAAGTCTCTTTCTTCGATTTCCTGCTCTGAAGGACCTTCGTCGTCATCATCCATGTTGATTTCATGCTCTGGTATCTCTACTTTTAGCAAATTGAGCAGTCTTTGAGCTAATTCTCCTGAATTATCCACAAATGAGCTCATGTACATCGAAATAAGGGTCTTAAGGGTATCTGCAATGGCTGAGCATGCTGGGATATTAACTTCTTCTTGATCCATGACCGTCATCATAAATTGAACGATATCTAAAACATTTTCTGAGACTTTTTGAGGGGAAACCTTTGTAAGAGAGCTTATACATCTAAATACACTAGTTACTACTTGGCCATTTGTGAGATCATTCAATAAATTACTTATAACAGGATAAATTTCATCAAAGAAGCTTTCTTCTACGCCTTCGTACTTGCTTAATGCATTTGCAATGCATTCTATGCTGTTATCTACATATTCAGTATTTTCATCACTGGCGATTTGTAAACAAAAAGTGACAAGGTCAACAATCTGAGCATATGGTTTTGTAGATTCGAACAAAACTCTTTCGAGAGTGCTTAAGTAGTTACCGTCTGTAGCTCTTTGAATTAAAATAGATACTAAATCATCGAAATATGGGGCGATTGCGCTTCCTAATACCTTCATAACTTCTTCTAATAAAGTTTTCGCACCATAAGCAATTAAATCATCCTCTGACTGCAGACCAAAAGAAACAGGGTTGATGATTGGCTCTGGATCATCGCCGATATCGTCCATCCTTCCCTTGGCAATCCAAGAAAGCATATACAAACAAACTTGTACTTGAGCATCGTCGCCTTGGCTGAGCTCGTTTGCGATGTTTAAGGCAATTTCGTATAGGTTCTCGCTATCAAGAGTGCTCAGACGGTCGACTAAAGCGTTTACATCTAAAAATTCAGTATCTTCTCGGTTTTCTGAGCATGAAGTTACTGAAAGAGTGATCGCAGTTGTGAATACATCTTCAATGTTCTCCGTAAAATAGTCTGGATAGAACGTTGGACCATCATTTAAAATACTAAAAATATTTAATCGAGTTGTGATGGGAGTTGTCTCATCTTTCGATGCTTGGATAGCATAATTGAAAACTTCTGATGCAAATTCCTCGAAGCAATCAAATCTATCGAAGATTAAACACGTAATTAAATTATTTATTTCTGTAATTTCAGGATTTTGGTTTAATGAGAGTGCATTCACATAAATCTGTAATAGTACTTGCGTAATATCAGGGAATTTCTTTAAAATCACTTCTCCAGCAGCGTCTTCCTCTTCATCAGTTTTAATTTTGCCTGGAACAGCTTCTGAATCGGCTGCAAAGAAGATGAGTGTTGCTAAAAGATTATATGCTGCAATTCTGTACTGCATATCTTGAGATGTCGCGTATTCTAACGATAATTTATATAATGTTTCGTAAGAAGAGTTTTGATCATCTTCTGGTAGGTCACTAAACAGATTTGTGAAGAAATGAAGTCCGTAGAGAGCAGTTTGCGGGTTTTGTATCAAAGAAAAACCAACTTGAGAAAGTTCTGACCAAATTCCGTGTTTAAACATTTTGTGAGCAATTGGTTCGATCATGTAGATGATACTATCAAAGTTTTCGTAGCATTTTTCGATTTCAAAGTAATGTAAGAAAATATCTTTATATGTAAATGCAAATTGCTTTGTTTTGTTGGCTAATGCGATTTTCCTTAAGTAAACATATGATGATTTCCTAACTTTTGGGTTCTGATTTGTTGTAATGATGTGATTAAAGATTTCTACGCCATTTGCTTCTTGAAGCGCAGCCAAAATCTCATTAGTTGACTGATTTATATCTTGTGTTGGCATACTTAAGTTCATATCATTTAAAAGAAAAGCAATTCGCTCAGCTATTTCCATTTTCTAAAATTTCAAAATCTTTCACTTTTGTGGACTTTGGATTTTTTATATCACATGTCATAAAAATCAAAGTAACTCCATAATTTTTATTATATTTATATTTATAAGTTATGTGTCATTCAATTAAAGTAAAAATACATGCTATTGAATGGTAAATTTGAAGATTGCTAAGCTTTCTATCAGTTTAATGTGATGAACTCATGTACCAAATGAAGGAAAACATCAATAGAATGTTTATCGAAAGCGATTTCCACTCAGAAAAAGATTATTTTGAAATTTTCAATTTAAAAATGCCAAATAGTAATAGAAAAAGGAGTAGATTTTCTAGCTAATCATTAAACATCCAGAATGGATGTTTTTTATTAATATATTTTTTATTAGATAGAATTTAGAAAATTTGGCAAGCAATGTTATAATATTTCTTGCGGGATTCAAGTCCATTATATCCACCATTGACTTTCTTTGTGACTTGTTCAACAGTAGCTCCTCTGTCGCACTCTAAAGATGAAATTACATATATTTATTTTAAGATTCAATCCGTTGGCTTGGAAAATGAATCAAAACTATTTCAAGCATCATGATATTTATTAATGGCGAGTACTATTAAATATCATTTTTCGAAAAAAACGAGGGTGAAACTATTCTGAAATTCCCTTTTCACTATATAGATGGAGAAGTTTCTGAAAGGTTTTCTGCTCATAATATCCGATCTATGTATAAATGGTTCCTTCTCAAAGTTTAATTACATCATATCCACAAGGAATATGTGTTAAAAAGATAACTTTTACTGAAGAATATGAAATATCGAAAGAATTAGTCACCTCCTCTCATAATTATTCTTATTTTTATTTTCAATGCTGAACAGCATTCGAATAAAAAGTAATCGCGATAAAGAAATTTTCGTGAAAATACTCACCTTCTCCTAGAGTGCTGATTTTACAAAGGTACATTCACTAGGCGATAACAGTAAAATGGGATGAAAATAGGATAAATAGCATCCCTATATAGTGCCTAACAATATTTATATGGGCCAAAAAAAATTTGGCTAGAGATTTGGCGAGTTATAAAACTTAGAAAATTGAGAGGGATTTTTATTTTTGAATTTTTTTGGAAAGTTAAAATTGCGATTAAAAATCGATTTCCAGGAGAACTAAGCATCTCATCATATATTTAAATCGATAAAAATATTAAATAATAGTTGAATAGTATAACAACGTGAAATTATGGCTGAATCTACAGAAAAAATGAACATATTTGACATTTTTGAAAATTCATACGTTAGATGGTGACAGACTCATAAACTATACTTTAGCTAAGATTGATATATGGTTTCAACAACACATGGTTAAAATCGTAAAAATATTTTAGATTTCAAAAAGATATATATGGTAATATAATGGAACAAAGTCAACAAATAGCATGTTAAATATGTTATAATTAACTTTTTATTAGATCCAATAGTAGATATCGAATGGTTTCCAGCTTTATGGTTAAATATTTTCTTTTCGAGCTTCTCTTTAACTGTTGTATTAAGGTTGTAAATTTTTGATGCTAGAAACTATGGAATCTTCTTTGCTGCTGCATTTTTCTTGAGAGTTCTTGCAATTTCGAATAGATCTGCGCATTGTATGAAATGGAGGCTTTAAAATATCTTGAAAACAGAATAGGACTGCTTTTCCAAAGGAATGCTTACTTGTAAATCAGAGAGTTTCAAAATTGAGAGCAAGATTATCATCATAACTTTCGATTTTGCTGCGAAAAAGGAAGACAAGTAATTAACAAATCATTTACTGTTGTTCATCAAAAGAAGAAAACTTTGATAACAACTAATGATGATAAAATCAAGCTATCTTTTAATATTTTAAATTGATAAGACATTCAAAATATTTGAATGGTTTAAAATATTTTCTTTTAATTTCTATAAGATATTATCATGATTATATAATAAAATTTAAATTTTTATTCAAAAAGGCAATATTTCAAACTTTTATTTAAAAATCTTAATTCTGCAATAAGTGTATTTAATTGTAGCAAATTTAATGATCCTTCGTCATGCTTAGCAATTTGGAACTCATAAATTAATGATTTCTTCAAGTAAAATTCTGCATTATTTCAAAAGTCAATAATTCTCTAGTAACTTTTCTTCAAACCCTAACCATTATATTATATGTATAATGGAGAATAATTGCAAAGAAAGATAGCCGAATTTACTGGGTAGTTCTTGTGATGCGAAATAATTGCAAATTAACACCTAGTTTTAACAGCATCAATCTCTTTTTTCTCTCATTTAAATGCATTCGCACACTTTAATTTTGAAATATAAGAGTTTTGGAAATTATCAAATTTATCTGCTCAAATACTATAGATCTTCATAAGTGTTAATAGAATCATTAGCCTTACATATAGTGTTTAATATAATGATGCACATTATACTGGGATTCATTCCTTATTCATCTAGTTATTATAAGATTTACAACCCCATGAAAATTTAAAATTTTGTCAAAAATAGTGAATGTACCTTTGATTTTACTAAAAATTAACGCATTAAAATTCATTCAAAAATGCGTCACTTTTCCCTAAAATCACAAATTTTGGATTTTTAATATTTTTGGCAATTAAGGTCGATGAAAAATTGAGCGTTTTTAAAAAACCGCCGTTTGAGAGGAAAATTGAGAGCCCGATGTATACTTTTTGACATTGTCAAAAACTTTGAAAGGACCAAAAAAAATTTTAGTGTCAGAAAGTTTACAAATGTATACTTTCTGACAAACAGACTCTCAGAAAGTACTCAAACTGCGGTTTTTAATTTCCGCACTTTTTTGGCGACCTTAGCATAATTAAATCAAAATAACGCTAACTCTATTATTTTTTCAATTAATGAAAATGAGCCAAGCAATTAGGGCCTCTGAAACGCTTTTGAAGGAATACAAGGGATACATTGATACATGGGATGCAATATATAAATTGGATACAGATGAAATAAATTCAACAGCTGGATTATACGAAGACATCAAGAATAACTTGATTGATACCGGATATTTTACAGCAAAAGAGATGATTGAATTGATAGCAAGAGCTTGCAATGAGGGTTTACATTATCGTCATGGATACATAGAGTTAATGAAGAAAATCTCAGAAGGATATTTTGTTGACAATATGAATATCTCACAATATAATGATATTAAAATAAATACGCCTGAATATGCAATAATTAATGATAACGAAGAAGAGTTATTATATCACTTGACAAGAAAGAGGTTTAGTCACGCAAAAATCCTTGAGAAATGTTGTTTAAGAGGAGCAATTAATTGTTTCATGTTAATGAGACAAGAATTTAATGTAAAAATCACTAAAGAATGTCTAGATGCTTCATTTAGAGGGAACAATAAACGCATCATTAATGAGTGTTTGAAAGGAGTAAAGCCTGATCAACGTACAATGCAAGCTGCAATTGCATCTCATAATTTCGATAATGTTGAAAAATTATATACTGAATACCGATTATCAATTGATCCCTATTCATGTTCTATGTATCTTAATCTTTATGAATTTATATTCTTTTTAGATGATTCTAGTTCACACGACTTATCTTTAGGTCTTTTTACTTCTCCACATTTTCGTATTCCATCTCTTTGTGAATATTTGATTAAGAATGGCGCAAATATTAATTATAATGTACATAGCCACACAGTGCTTTATGTTGCAGCTATAGTAAATCAAACAGATATTGTATCAACTTTGCTTTTAAATGGATTTGATTGTTCTTTCTTAGATGGATCTGAACTTGATTATGCCATTTCCAATAACAATTCTGCTATGGTGGAGTTACTTGTATCATATGGGTCAAATGTCAACTACAGATCTGAAAAGGATCAATTAACAATACTTCATAATGCATGCGCCAAAAATAATATCAAAGCTCCAAATATTCTAATTTCACACGGTGCAAATATAAATGATAATAATAATATTGGAAAATTAACTCCTCTTATGGTTGTAACAACTCAAAATCATAGAGACATTATTAAACTTCTGATTTCACATGGGGCAGACATCAACATGCAGGAGTATAGAGGATATTCTGCTATTCATCTTGCAATAATTGCTAATCGTAGAGGAAAAACTAATGAAGATGCTGAGTATTTAGAAAAAATGTTTGGACTCGATTTGATAAAAGATTTTGTTAATGATAGTGAAGTCAATGATTTGATTGAACTTCTACTTTCAAATGGTGCAAATGTCAATGCAAAGAATTTCGATGGACTTACCCCTCTTCATTTGGCATCATTACTTTCTACTAAAGAGATTGTTGAAATATTAATTTCTCATGGTGCTGAAATCAATCCTATAAGTGAAAATGAGCTAACTCCTCTTGATGTAGCTATTAGACGTGAAAAAATAGATTATGAAAAATACCTAATACTCCGCGAAAATAATATGGATTACCAATATTATCTTGATTCCTCCCAAGAAGCAATCAAAATACAGGCTCTCTTAAAATCTCATGGCGGAAAAACTAATTCTCAGGATACTAGAGAGGCAGAAGAATTATGATATTCCTCATTATTTACATATATAATTATATGATATAATACTAGTTCTAACGTTTTGCAACTGTATTTTTGTGTTAATACATAAAAAGTCATTAATGCATATATGAATCTAAAATAAAAATGTATTTTTAAGGTAACAATATATAACTTATGCTATCATATGTTAGGATATAACAATTACACTGTTATTTGACTTAAATATATTGATTTTAATAAATATTTAATTTAGAATGTTAATAACATATTGTGAGACAAAATAGTGTTCTGGAATATAATGTCGTCATGTGCTAGATACTATTTTATTCTGTAATCCTTGGTTAATATTATGAATCATTGTAAACTATTCAAAATTTGAATAGTTTATTTTAATATGAGTTCCGACTATTCAAAGAAATATGAAGACTTTATTGGAGCACTTGAAAAGCTTTTCCGTATAAAATCTAATGAATCTATTGAAGATATGTGCAATATTATCAATAAAGTATTGATTTCGAAGTATCAACTTACTAAAACACAACTTATGATGATTATTACCAAAGCGTTTCAATATAATTATTCTTCAGGAGAGATTTATGTTAAAATACTCAAGAATATCGGATTGATTAGTGAAGAGATTTCTAAATTAACATTTCCATTGGAAGGATCAATCCAATTTATTGTTATACATGATCAAATTGATAAATTCAAGGAATATTTTTCTCAAAATGGAATCAAAAATAATAAATTTATTATAATTCCTATTTTGAATAAAACAAATATTGTCACTTTGTCATTAATTGAAACATGCGCTTATTTTGGATCTGTAAACATTTTTTATTTCTTAATTTCAGATCAAAATTATAAAATATCAACAAAATGTCTTAAGTATTCATTAATCGGTAAAAACGCAGACATTATCAATGAATGCTTAAAGGAGAATCAAATGGACATGGATTGTCTTAGAGAAATTGTAAATTCACACAACTTCGAAATGCTTCAATTTGTTTTAGATAGAAATATATTTTCTTCTAATGATTTCTGTGATTCCTCTTTTGATTTCCTGCCTATTTTCGAAGATATTATCAAATATCAAAATCTGAAAGCTGTATTTCTACTTTTCGAGAAAGAAAAAAGTTCTATCATTCCATGGTGTGCTGCATTTCCTCAAACAATTGATATCATCAGAAACGAAAGGCTTCCTGATACAAATGATTGCATGAGCAGAAATATTATTCATTATGCATGCATGTCACAAAATTCCGATATCTTTATGTTTTTGTTTAACACTTCTTATAAAATTAACAATAATCATGATCGAAAATCGATGACTGCTTTGGATTATGCAGCAATATATAATAATATAGATGCAGCCAAAATTCTTGTTTCACATGGTGCAGAAGTCAATATTAATCTTGATTTTCATTGTTTATTTTATTCAATTCTCTTTGATTTGATATTGATAATTATAAGATAGAATTCAATTAAATTTTACATCAATCATTATTAAATAAAATATATTTTCAATTAAAGATTCTCCACTTACACTTGCTATTAATTCAAATTCAACTGAAATTGTCAAACTCTTAGTTGACCATGGTGCTGATGTCAATGCTAAAATTTCTATCAATCATTATTATAAAGAATTATCTTTCAACTAATATCATTCATTACCCAATATAATTCTATTTCATCTATTATTAATCATTATTAAATGAAATATATTTTCAATTAAAGATTCTCCACTCACATTTGCTGTTAGGGAAAATTCAGTTGAAATTGTCAGAATTTTAGTTGACCATGGTGCTGACGTGAATTTTCGACTTACTCTTTTTGATTCAATATCAATTATTATTATATAGTATTCTCTTTATTTAAATATCAATTCTTATTTTCTGGAATTTTATTTTATCTGATGTAAATCATTATTAAATTGGACTCTCTTTCATCTTATATCAATCATTATCATACGGAGTTCTATATAATTTATTATCGATCATAATTATATAAAATTCTCGAGAGAGGGTCAAAGTTGCTATTTGTCACTTTTCCACAAGAATATAATGGGGAAAAAGTTATCATATAGTTGATCTCATTCACTGAGGTGAGAGATGCATGTAGTGTAATGGGATAAACAGTGGGATTGCTGCTCTAAGTCCTAGGTTCGAGACACACTGGCTTCATTTTTCTCTTTTTTATTGACGTAAACTATTCAATTTTTGTGTTATCCATTCAAATTTCAGAATTTTTTTGCAGATTTCACGCTACATTCGAAGTTACCTTTTGTAACAACCACCACCGCCTACGAAAGACGAAAGTGTGTCACGATTTCACCCAGAAATCCGACGGTTGTTTAAGAGTAAGCACTTTTGGCACCTACTCTAAAATTCTCTTTCATCGTATATCAATCATTATTATATGGAATTATATTTAATTTATTATTAATCATTGTTATATAAAATTCTCTTTAAGATCATATCAATCATTGTTATATGCAATTTATTTTCAATTAAAGATTGTCCACTTTCTCTTGCTATTAAGGAAAATTCAATTGATATTGTCAAACTCTTAGTTGATCATGGTGCTGATGTCAATACTCAACTTGCTCTTTTTGATCTATTATCAATCAGTATTATATACAATTTTCTTTCATCTCATATCAAACATTATTAAATGTAATTCTCATTGTTCTATTAATGATCATTATTAAATGAAGTATATTTTCAATTAAAGAATATCCTCTTACTCTTGCTATTAAGGAAAGGTCAATTGATATTGTTAAACTCTTAGTTGCCCATGGCGCTGATGTGAATGTTAAGCTTATTCTTTTTAATATAATATATGAGACTATTAAAGGAGATATATGCTGATTATAAATATATAATAAAAAATATGAATATATGTATATGATGAGTATGTTGTATTTTGGCGCCATGCCGGGATATAAAATGAATTTTGAGACAAGAGGCGGTTTCGCGGGAAATTTTGGCGGGATTTTTTTCATTTTTTTAATGAATCATAAAGAAAACATCCTCGCTCTTGCAAAAAAATGCAAAGACTGTAAAAAAATCTACGAGACATTGGTAAAATGCTTCGGTATGGATGCTCCTAGCTATTCCACTGTAACGTATCATGTTAGGATGTATCACTTCATGAACAAAAAGGCGCCCATCATAAAAATTGACAAAAAATCGCCGGATCAAAGAAAAATCAAAGCAATTCTTCAAGCGCTAGATGAAGACCCAAGAGCATCACTCAGAAGGATAGAGGAGATGACAAAGATACCACGTACAACAGTCAGTTATTATCTGCACAATTATTTGAACTACAAACTAGCGTATACACGTTGGGTTCCGCACAACCTTAATTCAGTTCAAAAAAAATCTAGAGTCCAATCTTCGAAAGAGCTCCTCTCTATATTGGGTGCGTATCAATCCAAGAAGTTTCGCTTTTTAGTAACAGGGGACGAGTCTTGGTTTCAATATGCAACAGAAGCCAAAATCATGTGGATCCCGAAGGATGAAAATCCACAAACATTCCCGAAGAAAAAAATTGACACACCAATGATGATGTTGTCGGTTTTTTGGGGCGTGAATGGCATCATCGCAATTGATATTCTTCAAAAACCTAATACGATGAATGCTCAGTATCTAATTGACAATGTTCTTACTCAAATTATCAATTCTGATGAGTTTGAGAAATCCAAACAACAAAAACAAAAGTTTGCAATTCATTTTGATAATTCAAGAGTTCACAAAAGTCATAAGGTAATGAATTACTTGGTGGAAAACAATGTCAAAGTTGTTCCAAACCCAATTTATTCACCTGATATTGCACCCTCTGACTTTTATTTATTCGGCACGCTAAAAAAGAGAGCTGAAGGACGCGAATTCGCGAGTCCAGATGATCTTGAAAATTTTGTAAGAGAGCAATTTGAGCAATTTTCTCATGATGATTTAAAGCGTGTCTTTCAAGCCTGGATCGATCGCTGCGAACGCGTGATTGAATCCAATGGTGATTATATTTAAATAAACTTTATATATATATGTAACTTGTTTATTTCTATTCGCAGTATTCAGGTTTGTGCTAAACACACCTTTGGACACCCTATATTAATCATTTTCTCATAGAATTCAAATTAATTTACTATCAATCATTATTAAATGATATATATTTTCCTTTAAGGGTTGTCCTCTTACTATTGCCATTAAGAAAAATTCAACTGACATTGTTAAATTCTTGGTTGACCATGGTGCGAAAAATATTTTTTTAAGTGATAAATAATACACATAAAAGATCGCTATTATAATTATTTAATTGTACATTTTATAATTTTTTGCCAGTTAATTATAAGAATACCAAGTAGTCTTTTTAATCATGTATATGTGTTGGCAAGAGAATTAGATGGAATTCAAAGAAATTTAATGTGAACACTGCAAATTTTTAAGTTGACTTCATTACACCAGAAGCTGGAAGCAGATCTGCAATATTAAGAGGAGTTTCTCATTTTTATCTTTTGCAAATACGTAAGATCACAGTTACGCCAGCCCATTCTCCTCATCTGATCATATGAAATATAGGCATTTGTTTCAATTTCGACTTTTCCAAAGACTCTGCTTGGTCTAGAGTGGAGTCTGATATAAGGTCTGTGTTGTTTGCTTATTACTGAACTAATAAACAACGGTAACAGCGATGTATTTTGGCAAAATTGTCAAGACCGGTTATCGCACACAAAAATTTCATTTAATCATTTTGATTTAATATCAATCATTATTATATGCAATCCTATTTAAGATAATATCGATCATTGCTTTAACTAATTCTATTTCAGTTAATATCAATCATTGTTAAATACAATTTATTTTCAATTAAAGACTGTCCTCTCTCGCTTGCAATTATGGTTTTGCAAAGTGGCACGTAAAGTGGCACAATGTTGCAAAAATTTCCCTTTTTTTGCCCTTTGCCCATTCAATTTTACGCCCGTAACTGGCACGAATCCTCGAAACCCGTGCCAGTTTGCAAAACCCTACTTGCAATTAGGGCAAATTCAGTTGATATTGTCAGAATTTTAGTTGACCATGGTGCTGACGTGAATTCTAGACTGATTCTTTTTGTTTCAATATCAATCATTAATATATCATATTCTATTTAATTCAATATCAATTTTTACTTTATGGAATATTATTTCATATGATATCAATCATTATTAAATTGTATTTTCTTTCATCTTATATCAATCATTATCATATGGAATTCTCATTGTTCTAATATCAATCGTTATTAAATGAAATGAATTTTCAATTAAAGAATATCCTCTTACTCTTGCTATTAAGGAAAGGTCAATTGATATAGTCAAACTCTTAGTTGACCATGGCGCTGATGTGAATGTTAAGCTTATTCTTTTTAATATAATATTAATCATTTTCTCATAGAATTCAAATTAATTTACTATCAATCATTATCATAAGGAATTATCTTTAAAATAATATCACTCATTATTACATGATATATATTTTCCTTTAAGGAATGTCCCCTTAGTATTGCCATTAATAAAGCTTCAAATGACATTGTTAAATTCTTGGTTGACCATGGCGCGACAAATGTATTTTTAAAGGATAAATAATGCACATAATGGATCGCTATTTTAACTATTTAATTGTGAATTTAAAAATTTTCGCATGTATAAAAATTAAAATATAAATATGACAAGCAGTTTTCTTCTAAATTTAAATTTCGTTGAATTCTATCTAATTCTCTGGCAAAAACAAAAATGTGATTAAAAAACCAGTTCATCATTTCATACTATATATTAATGGCTTACCGTATATATATTTCATTATGTCTAAATAGAAATTGATAGTCTTGAACAATTTTTCTTGGTAAAAAGAGTTGTCTCTAAAATGGGAGGAGTTAGATTGCACCACCATGTTTAATAATATTCAATTAAAGTGTTTTCCCATTGATCCATTAAGAAAAGATTCCGAAATTGTATTTTATCATATAACCAGATATAAATCATATGTACTTGATGCGCTCGTTTCATGATGTTATTGAAACTTATCAAAAATTCGTTTATACATATATCAAGTTAGCTGGAAAATCTAGCATAACTAAATGATGGTGTAGTTCACTGTATTAGCTAGAAAAAAGTACAAATTAGAAAGTGAAATGGTTCGATTAAGGTGAATGCTGCAAACTTTCTAAGTTGACTTCAGTGCACCATAAGATGAAAGGAGATCTGCAATTTTTAAATAAATATCTTCTGCAAAATCAAGAGTAGTTTTCTCATTTTTATCTTTTGCATTTACATCTGCACCATGTAATAATAGTATTTTTACAATTTCAAAACAATTATATTGTGAAGCCAAATGAAGTGGAGTGGTTAACTGTGCATCTTTTGCATTTACATCTGCACCATGTGAAATAAGCAGCTCTGCAATTTCGAAATTATTATATTCAGATGTTAGGTGAAGAGGAGTTGTCAAATATTTATCTTTTGCATTTACATCAGCGCCATGAAAAATTAGGAACTTAGCCGATTCTTTGCAGCAAAAAGTGATTGCGTTATGAAGTGTCGTACCTCCAGATATACTTTTTGAATTGATATCTGCATCATGAGAAAGAAGAAATTCACAAAGATATGGAAGATTGAATAACGGGGATTGAACAAAGCATTTGTTGATTTTATTAGTTTGATCTAAATAAACAAAAAATGCCTGAAAATTTTTATGGATTCCACAATTCTCTAAATTGACTTTTATACCATATTCATTCGTCAAATAAGTAACAAAATCAATATTGTGTGAAATAATTGCATACCACATGCAATACCATTTATCTGGTTTGAAAACTTTTAAACATTCACTCATTATTTCTTGATTTCCGCCAAGAAATGAAAGACAAAGACATCTTTGGGTAATTTCTGAATCAAATTTTGATCTTAAGAGCTTGAAACATTTTTTTGCTCCATGATAACAGCATGCTTCAAGATATGAAAGGCCACCTTTGTAACCTGGATAGAAATCATTTTCTAGTCTTTGATCTTGATTAAAATCTTCGGATTCAGTAAACAATATAAATAAATTTGTATCATCTTCCATTATTGCTTGATAAACTGTACATTTTTCGTGAACATCAAGTGTAATATTTTGAGATTCATATTTTTGGAAAGATTTTTTATTATTTTCATTAAAAACTATTCCATATTCTTGAAAAGCTAAGTAATGGAAAATTGGTTGAATACTATCGTTCAATTTTGGATGATATTCTTCATAAATTTTTTTGAATATTGTCCAATACGACTTCATATAGCGGTTGTTGTATATTGACATTAAAAATATTTCTTGAACAATTTGTTCTGCTGTATAACTTCCTGAGTTTATCAAATGTATTTTAATCATATTGTAAATTTCATTGAGTTCTTCCTCATTTCTTGTTGTGGGTCGATATAATAATGTAAAAATATCACTAACCATTTGAAAAGCACTCATATATTCATCGTATTTCCTTTGAAAGCATTCGGTCATTTATAAATAAAAAAAACAATGAGATAAATGTAAAAAGAGCGATGACTGGACTCGAACCAGCGACCTTAAGGTTATGAGCCTTACGAACTAAACCAACTGTTCCACATCGCTTTATTCGATAAATTTAATATGTTTAGATATTTAATATATATTTGACACTTTTCAAACTCATTAAAAAATGTCGTTTCCTGAATTTGCATAAAATAGTCAAGCCAAAGAGCGTTTCCCAAGTAAATATCAAATGACAAAGTATAGATGGCTATGCTCTGTTACATAGTCCTAATGCAGGCTTCCATGATACATATATAGGGAGATAGGAAGTGTATAATTGTCATATATATTATTTCAATAAAAGTGCCAAAATTTTACAAACTTCAAATTTGAAAAATCACTCTCACTCTCAGTGAAGGAATTATCAACATTTGAAATGTGAACTACTCAAAAGTCGATAGATACACCTTTTGATTCGTTTTATATTTCAAAAATCAAATCAATTAAATAATTCGATTTAGATTATTATTAATTAATATAAACCTCCAATGGTATGATAATAGAAATGAAATATAGCCAATTTATAGATATTCTGCAAATTGAAAATTTGATTTTATTATTAACACTCATTCTTTGAGCAAAAACTTTGATAAAATGTTATGATTCACTAGTAAATAACTTGTTTACTTAAAGCAAAACGAAGTATAAATTTTTAATATTACATTAAGCTTGGTTCTTTACTTATTGAGCTTATATCATCTGATACTAGTAGCTGTGGAGCACTATCCTTCGATGGCTTTGGTTCAGAGAGCACGAAAATCGAAACTGCGAGCGGAATGAACATAAAACCGACCAAATAGAGCCAATTTGCTTTGCTTCCGAACAGGAATATGTCTATGGCCAAAGAATAGAAGTTTGACGATAGCATTGAAATATTCATAACTGTTGCGTTGGAATATTTCATAATTACAGGAGATAGCATGTAATATAAGGATAGAAGAACTGAATATCCAACTGTGAGGCAAATAGACTTTGTTTCCCACTTGTAATTTTTAATTGTCTTCCATTCTAAACTTCCACTCAAAATAATGGAAATTGGTAATGCGGATATTGATAATCTAAGTAGATATAATCTTGCGCTATCATCTTTAACCAACTTCTCCTGTAAAATTGTTGAGAATGCATAACAAATCGCACTTGAAAGAGCAATAAGGTTTCCTTTAAGCTTGCTATCCTTTATTCCTTGTGCAATAAGAATCATGGACACTCCTAAGACTCCCAATATCATTGCAATCATTTGTTTCCAATTAACTTTTCTATGAAAAACAAAATATGCAATTGGTGCTACCCAAAAGATAACAGTTGTTGCTAAAAGCATAGCAGAAGCAAGTGATGTATAGTTATACGCAAAAACACCAGAGATATCACCACCAAGGCAGAATAAAGCAACAAGGAAGTATGACCACCATGGAGTTTTGGATTTTGGCCACCACCAAACGTTTGTTATAAAGATTATGAAATAACAGATAGCTAAAGCAAGAATTGAAATAAATTCACCGTAAATTGTGCAAGTATATGATACAACAGTGCCAGCACCACATAATATAAGTGCAAGTACTTGCCAACCAGCCATGACACCCCATATATTACCTAAAAACATTCAAAAAAAATTGAATGTAAACTCAATGAGCAAGAATAAAAGTGACATCAATCAACCAAGATTAGCCTGATATCTAATATTTAAGCTTACCATTAACAATCAAATCTAAATTTTGTATTTTTGGACGATTTTAATTTAAAATCTCCTAAAATCTAAAAGGTGACAGATGCTCACTTCAATTGGGCGCTATTTCGCGAAGAAAGGCAATGATCTTCCCCGCACACACATTTCCATGGTTGGTTTCATGAATGCAGGCAAATCTACGATCATGAATGCAATTACTCAGCAGCCAACTTCAATTGTTGATTCTACACCCGGAACTACAGCAGATACTAAAGTTGCATTGATGGAAATTCATGCACTTGGTCCTTGCAAGTTAATTGATACGGCTGGTATCGATGAAAAGGGCACACTTGGCAGAAAGAAGTACATTAAAACAGAATCAGCTGTCAAAGAAAGTGATGTCGTTCTCTTTGTCATTGATCCTACTAACTTCGAAGTCGGACCATTCAGAGAGATATCAAATCTTGCTGTTCGCCGTGGAAAGAAAGTTGCTGTCGTTCTGAACAAATTTGAAAACAAGTTAGACCAATTCGAACGTACAAATAATCTCGTTAAAAGCGAAATGCAAAAGGTATTGAAGGCAGATGTTCCTATTTTGGTTGTTGATGCCCAGAAAACAAAAACTGCAAATAAAACACTTGTTCAATTCATTGCCAAACTTATCAAAGCGCAAAAGAAAGTACCAGTACTTCCACCAAAATACGTCGGTCCTGATAAATCTCTTTTCCTTAATATTCCTTTGGATATTGAATCTCCAAGTGGAAGACTTCTCCGACCACAGACCATGATGATCGAATTTGCTCTTCGTAAGGAATCTCCAGTTACCTGCTTCTGCATGAATCTCAAGAAAGCAAGATCAAATTCTTCATCTGCTGAAGAAGAAAGAGCACGTTTCCTCAAATCCCTCGAATCATCAAATCCAGCACTCGTTGTTACAGATTCCCAGGCTATAGATGTAATGGCCAAATGGACTCCAGATAATTTCCTACTTACTACATTCTCCATCGCAATGGCTAACATCCAATCCGATGGAAACCTCAAGCAGTTCATCAGAGGAATCGATACTTTGGCAAATCTCAAGAAAGGTGACAAAGTTCTCATTTGCGAGACCTGCAACCACGACAGAATTGGAGATGATATCGGTACAGTTCAAATTCCAACCAAACTGAAGAAGATGTACCCAGATGTCGAAATTGATTGGGCGTTTGGAAGAGCTTACGAAGACAAGAACCTCAAGGAGTACGCATTGGCACTTCACTGCGGTGGATGCATGATTTCGAAGCAGCAGATGAACGCAAGAATTCAAGATCTCGCTGAAAGTGGAGTTCCTATCTCAAACTATGGATTGGCTCTCAGCTGGCTTACATCTCCAAAGGCATTCGAGAGGGTTCTCAAGCCATGGAAATAAATACATAAAATGTTATAGTAAAATTTTAATATATTTTCACTTATTGTTTTAATTTGAGGATGTTATATTTAACATCTGAAAAATGTGTCAAAATTATCATTGTTATCTAAAAATATGTCAAAATTATCATTGTTATCTAAAAATGTGTCAAAATTATCATTGTCATGGCATCTGAACTATAACTCTATAACTCTATCGGATCCTCTCATACACAACTTTATTTAATAGCCTCTTGTGCATGGCATTATCTTTGATATATGATTGGAGTAATTTTAACCAATTTCTCGGATTTTCGAAAATATCGTTTGATGTGATATCAAATACAACTAATGCGACATGACCACTCCTATAATATATGGAAACTAGAGATCCATATTTTTCAAGACTGAAAGGTTGCCATGCGGCAAATTCGATATCCTCATCATCTATTGTTTTATAATTGCTTTGATTTTAAGGGTGCACCCGCATGTACGTTTATTTGAGAGTAGGAGGATTACCCTCTCAATTTTGAAAGCTTCGTTAGCGCAATATCTCGATGAATATTGTATTAAAATTGAATTTGCCCATACCAATATATCTGATACAATATCCTTAAGTTTTACTAAAAAGAATTTTTTAAAATCCCTGCAGATTCGGGGATTTTTAAATTTTTTGATTTTTTTCGCAAATTTTTCGAAAAAAAATATTTTCAGAAGAGCCTTAACAGCTAAGTTTTATGTTTAATGTTGAGTATCAAAAAGAATGGGCGTCTGATATAGCCATCATATATCCCAGAAGCAAATAAAAATTCTGACTTTTTAAGCATAAAAAAATGAAATTTTATTTTTTGCAAAAAACAGGCCACCCGGATGTACGTTTATTTGAGAGGAGGATTAAATTTTTGAAAGCAGTAAAATTTGTAAATATTCTAGTTATATAATAATATGTATTATTTTAAAAAATAAAAAATTAAAGCACGTTAAATTTTTTTTTGATGAATTTTTACAAAAGCTACTTAGGATTATGCAAAATATAGTAATTAAACATAAATTTCAAATCAGATTTTACTTATGATAAATATTTTAAATTTCCGAAAATTAAGTTCAGATCGACTCGATACGTTGTAATTACTAAATAAGGTGCCAAAAATATTAAACAGTATCAAAACTATCAAGATTGTAATGTTTTTGAAGAAAAATTTATAGAATTATGAACTTCAAACAGATATTATGTAAATAAAAATAATATAATGGATTTGTTTATTCGTATAAAAGCAGCAATAAGTCGATTATTCACTTCTACTTCTGAGATTTGAATTTAATTTCGACAGAAAAAGAGATTCAAGAGGAAAATACTAGGGAATACAAACTGCCACCATGACAGGATTATTATGGAGCCAAGTTGTACTTTTTGATATTTTTAGAGTTTTACTACCTATTTAGGTACCAAGTAATTGCTTAAAAATTAAGGTTCTGAATTCTGAAGTTTACATGATCCTCCCGGGCGCACCCTTAAACTCTGTTAAAAAAAATATTAAAAAATTAGAATATGACGCTCATTTGTTTGTTTTATTTTTATAAAAAAAATTAGTTAGTAGCTGGAGCCTGCTGTTGTTCATTCTCGACGAGGACTGTTTCACCTGCAGCTGGCTTCATGAGTGGGAAGAGGAGAACCTCACGGATTGAGACCTGGTTTGTGAGGAGCATTACGAGTCTGTCGACGCCGCAGCCCCAACCAGCAGTTGGTGGAAGAGCGTACTCGAGAGCTGTGCAGAATGTATCATCGTATGGCATAGCCTCATCATCCTTAGCAGCCTTAGCCTTGAGCTGGTCGAGGAAGAGCTCGCGCTGTACCATTGGGCAGTTGAGTTCTGTGTAAGCGTTAGCATACTCGAGACCGTTGATGAAGACTTCGAATCTCTCGACAATTCCTGGTTTTGTGCGGTGCCACTTAGCGAGTGGTGACATGACCTGTGGGTGGTTGCACATGAATGTTGGGTTGACGCAGAGTGGTTCGACGAACTTTCCGACCATCTTGTCTAACATTCTTGCGACTGTCATTGGTGGTGGAACATCGACATCGAGTTCCTTGCACTTCTTCTCTAAAAGCTCTCTGACTTCATCTGTATCTTCGAGTGGTGGGAACTTGAAGTTGATCTGCTTCTCGAGTTCTTCGATCATGTCGATTCTCTGCCATGGAGATGAGAAATCGATCTCCTGTTGGCCGATTGTGCCGTCTTCCTTCTGGACGTTGATGGAGAACTTGAGGGTTCCCTTGACTTCCATGACGATCTTCTGGTAGAGTTTCTCTGTAAGATCCATAAGATCGTTGTAATCGGCGTAGGCCATGTAGAATTCGCAGGATGTGAACTCTGGGTTGTGTGTAAGATCGATACCTTCGTTTCTGAATTGCTTGCCGAGTTCGTAAACTCTGTTCATGCCACCAACAACGAGCATCTTAAGGAAGAGCTCTGGGGCGACACGGAGCCAGAGGTCAATGTCGAGAGCATTGTGGTGTGTGATGAATGGCTTGGCTGTGGCACCACCGGCGGTCTTCCACATGATTGGTGTCTCAACTTCTGTGAAATCGAGATCATCAAGGAAGCCACGGATCATCTTGACAACCTTGCAGCGTGTCTCGAAGATCTGGCGGTTCTCACGGTTAACGATGAGATCGAAGAATCTCTGGCGGTAGCGGACTTCGAGATCTTCGAGTTTGTGCTTTGGCATCTGGAAGAGGCATGGAGCAAGAAGAACAAGCTTTGTGACAACAACAGAAAGCTCGCCTGTCTTGGATCTGGCTGGGAAACCTTCAGCACCAACGATATCGCCAAGATGGAAGCTGCTGACTTCCTCCTTGAACTTGGCGCCATCGTAGTAGGACTGGGAACGGCACATAAGCTGGAGCTTGAATGTGGATTCGTACATCTCGAAGAAGTAAAGGTTGCCGTGAGCACGGAGTTGAGCGATACGGCTAGCAACGGAAACCTTGACGTCTGGGAGTTCTTCGCCGGCCTTAAGATGCTCGAACTGGGCGTAGAACTGCTTGAATGTGTGTGAGACGTTGAATTTGTGTGGGTATGGGGATGGGAGTGAGAGATCCTTACGGTGAGCCTCAACTTGCTTTGTAACTTCAGCAAGGCGGCGATCGTGGTAGTGAGCAGCTTCGCGCTTCTCGATTTCTTCTTCAGAAAGTCCTTCGTACTCTGGGTTTGTAGCGGCAGCCTTCTTAGCAGCTGGAGCTGGCTTGTTGGCGTTACGAGCAGCCTTAGCTTGGAGTTTGAGGATTGTCTTGATTTGGCTCTTAGAAACAACGTTTCCTTCAGCATCATGGTAAACACCTTCGGCATCAAGGGTGTAGCCCTCTGGGATTTGTGGTGCCTTACGCTTGTCTTGCTCAGACATCAACTTTGAAATGAAGCATGGCGATTCTCCAATTCAAAGTTATCGGTGTCAAATATGAATTTAATTATCATCTATGTAGTGTGTACATTTTAACAAAGTAATTTTTGGAAATTCTGCCAGTATCTCACTTTTGTGGACAAAATGCAAAAACCTATGAATTTTCCTATTTTAATTTGATATTCATAATATATAAGTATTTGTAATGCATATTCTATCTTCTAATTAGTAAAATTACATTGCCCGCCAAAATCAAAAATTTTCTATTGAAAAAATAGCGCCAAGTCCAAAAGTATCATTTTCTCATTGAAGACCGCAGCTGGAGTCAATGCCGATTATCCACTTGCTGGGATGCTACACAGCCTTTGATCTGGCCAATCATAGTGCTGTTCCATCCACATCAGCAAGTGATTTCGGCATCAGATCTCCACTTGGTCTTCCATGAGAGTTCTGCAAGCCAGGAGTGCAATATCTATACAGCCTTGCTGCTAGGATATAGTAGCCAGGCTGCGTAGATATTGCGCTCCTATGGATATTAGTTATACGTTATTATCCGCATGGGCTCATACTGCCATCCTCTGGTTCCCGAAGGGCCAAGGATTATGTAATTACTCGAATTGGGCAAAATTCTTCCGAGATATCTCCTTGAATGAGAGATCTCGGAAGAACCTTGCCCAATTCGAGTAATTACATAATCCTTGGCCCTTCGGGAACCAGAGGATGGCAGTATGAGCCCATGCGGATAATATATAACTAATATCCATAGGAGCGCAATATCTACGCAGCCTGGCTACTATATCCTAGCAGCAAGGCTGTATAGATATTGCACTCCTGGCTTGCAGAACTCTCATGGAAGACCAAGTGGAGATCTGATGCCGAAATCACTTGCTGATGTGGATGGAACAGCACTATGATTGGCCAGATCAAAGGCTGTGTAGCATCCCAGCAAGTGGATAATCGGCATTGACTCCAGCTGCGGTCTTCAATGAGAAAATGATACTTTTGGACTTGGCGCTATTTTTTCAATAGAAAATTTTTGATTTTGGCGGGCAATGTAATTTTACTAATTAGAAGATAGAATATGCATTACAAATACTTATATATTATGAATATCAAATTAAAATAGGAAAATTCATAGGTTTTTGCATTTTGTCCACAAAAGTGAGACAGCCAATTCTGCCGATAAAAGTGACAACAATCAATTGAATATAAAGAACGCCATCATATCAAAATCACAGTGTAAGAGTAGTTTGAAACGTAAGTCATGAAATAGAAAGAAGTAGTCATATCAATATATGTTTTATCTCAACAGTAGATAATTCGGCTCTGATTATAAAATTACAAATTTCTTGTAATATATCCTTAAGTATTATTATCATAACTTTTTCATAGATTCAAGCTACTCATTCAGATTTTAAACGTTAAAATATTAAAATCATATGAAAAATTCATAAAGAATATATAATCAAAATATGGATTCTATCTATTACTCATATGCATATTAAATGCATGAATACCTCTAATTAAACTCAGTTTGGTATTACATATGTCTTTGTATGACCTGTTTTTGATTTTTTTGTATATTTTTTTAGAACTACAAGCCATCTCTTGAACCTTTAAGGAGCTTATTGGTTTTTAATGGACATTTCAAAATTTGAAAAGCAGATTTTCCTTATAATAAAAATCTTAACTTAAATTTTTTAAATTCATTAAATAACTGTATGCGTATACTGAAATGTGTGAATTGTTTGTTTCGTGTGTCACTCCGATTCCCTTAAAAATCGAAATTCAAACTCAAAATTGAAAATCTATTGTAGAATGAGTGTAAATTATATCCATAATATAATCATTTACTATTACATGATTCATATAATTGATAAATACATTTAAAAAACGCGTATTGCTCTATAAAAATTGTAAAAAAAAGGTCATAGTACAAGAATATCTTGTCACTTTTCAATGATATCTTTGTTCTTAGCTCATTCACTATCAAAACTCTCGACTTTTCATATTGGCGAGCCAAAACTTGCTGAGGAGAGTGATGGTGGCTTGCTTTTATATACAAAAGACCAATATCTTGCATGGTGGGAAGATAAAAATGTTAAGCTTTTAACATTCAGATTAAAAATCCCAGGAATTACATATATTACTAAGAATAAGCATATAGTAGCTGTTTCCGAGCAATATATCTACATTGTTAAGAACGAAACAGGACATATCAGTAATCAAATCCTACACAACGTTTCAAAAGTTTCTTCAGCACATATATATAACACAACGATTGTACTCAAAGGACAGAATGAAATAGCTCTCTATAATGTTTCCGGCAAAATTTGGTCCATTGAATCTGGCGTTGAAGAAGGCGATATCAGATTCAATGCAGATGGATCTAAAATTACATACGGAACTAAAACATATGCTACTGAAACTGGCCTCCTTTTAGATGAAGTTGCAAAACCATTTATTCCAAAGGCTCCTCATCTTAAGTACCAGCCAACAGCATTAGAATACTATGCTGAGAACGGCACACTTCTTTGGACAAGAGAAACCCCATTATACGGTGCTAAATTACACAATTTCGTCAATAAGCATCAAATTCTCTTTACAAACGCAACACATATCATCATCCTTAACTCATTTGATGGAAAGGTCCACTCTACAATACCAGCAGTCACTAAATCCGTTCAGCCATACGATGAAGATAAATTTTTGATCGAAACAACAGAAGGATTCTTCATTTTCGAAGATATGAAGTTAGTTCCATTCACAAAACGAGTCAAAACCGCAGATTTGTCCAACAATATCCTTCATTTTGGAAATAAAACAATTATTCCACCTCCAAACTGCCAAATTGTCTGCACACAAGTACACCAGGGCCCAACCCCATCCATCCTCTCCGTCTCACAGTGTCCAAAGAGCACTCAAGTCCTGATTATTGACGAACATGGCAAAATCATCACGAACTTTGAGACAGAAAGATTATTTGGACATTGTTTCCAAACCAAGGAGTCATTCCACATCTCCACATATATGAACAATCTTAGAGAAAAACCACATTTGATTTCATTCTCCAAGAACAATTCGAAAAATTTCATTTTCAACACACCTCAAGTTGCCATTGACGCCACAGATGATTATATCCTCTACAAGACAGGTAGAATCGAAAAGATCAGGTCAGAAGAAATCAGATATCAGCCAGCCCCACATCAAATGCCCGGATTCTTCCAGACATTCATGCACCCTGAGTATTCCATTCCAAAACAGGATCCTTTGGAGCCACAATCTCTCACAATTACAAGTTTGTACGTTGGTGCTGAGAAAATCGCTTCAAAGAAGGATATTTGTTTCGCTCAGGGCTATGATATATTCGCTGTTGGCTTGGATGACGATTTCGACTTCTCTACAAACTACTATATAATTATATTATTTTTAATTTTGATACTATATATTGCATATAAGCACTATCAAAATAAGATTGATTTCTGGAAATAAAGAGTTATATTTTTTAGATTTTAATGAAAAATTATTTTTTATTTCAATAAAATTGTCATAAATCTAATAATAAGCTTTCATTTTCAAAGTCATGATATTGCATTGAAACTCAAGCATTTTGAGATAATTATTTGAAAATGAATAAATTATTTCAGTAAAAATACAATATATGTAATATTAAGCTTTCATTTGCAAATGATTATCCCAAAATTAAGCGTATATGACCTTATTTCACTATAAGTATTTCAATTTCTGCCTTCAACCTAATTTTTTTCAGTCATATTCTCTCAATTTTCTGTGTGAATGTAATACATGGAGGCTTAAACCGTCATAACAATGTTCGTGTAAATGATGTTTGTCTGCTTTTATAAGCATATTTAAAAACCCTTAATGCCAAACACTTAAATTCAAAAGTTAGTATTAAACATTCAAAATCTAGTAAATTTTGTGCTTTACTCGAATATTCATTATAGAATTGACTTTGTTTTATTAAATACCAGTAGATATTTCAATAATATTGATGATGATATTGCGTTTTGATTGAATGTTGATATTTTGTCACTTTTTCATAAAATGAAAAGTGGAGTTTCAAGTAAATTCTCTCAAGATCCAGATAAATTCATTAATGACAATTCGTTTTTAAATAAAGTTCAGATCAATGACCTTGTTAAATACTTGAATAATTCAACTTTAAACCTAAATCAATTTTTAAATTTGCTTCAAAATGTATCAAAATTGCAGTATGACAAGATAAATATCTACTATATACTTGAACAAGTTACTATAGATCTAGATAATGAACCAATTCGTGTTATTGAATTCCTTTTCTCGATATCAAATATTTTGAACAACAAATTCTTTTCAAATCTTTCAAAATACATGAGATACATACTTAACATTCCAGAACCAGAACAAGTAAAAGAAGAACCACAATCTGTAGAAGAAGTACAAGATCAGAAAGAAGAGTTCGAAGAAAAGAAAAATGAAATTTTAGAAGAACTGATAAAAATCGAAAAAAAGAAAGATAATTTCAGAAAAATCTATGGAATACTTGATCAATGCAGTAATGAGAATGACTTAGAAACGATGAAGAAAGCTATAGAATATGGGTATAATGATATCCAAGACTATGATGGCAATAAAATTTTAACAAAAGCAGCTTCTAAAAATAATTTAAATCTTGCAAAAATGCTAGTTCAATGTGGAGATGATCCTTCATTCTTAGGTGATTCAAAACGAAATGCTTTGTATATATTCTGTAGAGAAGGCAATCTAGAAGCTGTTAAGTTCTTTGCATCGCAGCCAAATATAGATCCAAATTCTCCAAATGTTGACAATTGGACAACATTAATGATAGCAGTAAAATATGATCATTATGAAGTCGTTCAGTATCTTCTTACATTAAAAGGTATAGATATCAATGCAAAGAATGTTTGGAATGAAACTGCTCTTCAGCAAGCCAAATCTGAAAGAATGAGAAATCTCCTTATCAAAAATGGAGCTGTGTGATCTAAAATAAAGCATAAAATAACTTAAAGTTTCCATACTTCCTTTCATCTATCATATTTGCTCATTTTAATTGTTTAATTATTTCTAAATCTTGATTTTTATAAGAAATCCTCAACGATCACAACTAAGGATAGATAATAAATATTTCCTTGTGATTCATTCATATATATTGAGAGAATAAATTTCTGTTGAAGCAATCGGCAGCAACGACATGTGGAAATATTCTATCAACGAATGATAAATCAAATTATTATCCTATTCAATTTCTCAATTTTTATATTTTGAAAATGTTTGATGGCTACGATTAAATTTTTATATGTTCAATAATTTGGAAAAAATAATCATTTGAAAATTCATAAAATAATAAAAAAATTTATAATAAAAAATTGAAAATTAAAATAGAATTTGGATGATATTAGGGTGTTGTTTCATAAATAATCTTTGAATTTATTGTTCTTCTTTTGGGGTAATCAATGCATCTATCAATTTTTGATTGCGCTTTTTTGTAGCAATATCTAGAGGTGTATCCCCAAACATATTCTTTATGTATGGGTCTGCACCATGAGAAATAAGCATAATGGCTAGTTCGATGTTTTGACTTTCTGCAGCAAGGTGGAGAGCAGTTTTCCCCATGTCATCTTTTGCGTTGATATCTATACCATGCGAAATAAGAAACTCTGAACTATCATTATAAAATTTGAAAGAAGCAGAATGATAAAGTGCTGTTTTGTTATGAGAATCAACTGCTTTGATATCTGCCCCATGTGAAATGAGGCATTTAACAAGTTCTGAATCAAACGAACTTGCTGCATCAATAATCAGACTCAATCCATGTTTATCTTTTGTATTGATATCTGCACCATGAGATATGAGAAATTCGACTAATTCAATTCTTTTTTGATAATCAGCCGATCTGATTGTATACCAAATGGGAGAACATCCCCTTTCATCTTTCGCGTTGATATCAGCACCGCGCCAAATGAGAAATTCTGCTAATTCTATGTTATTTATTTCACAGGCAATATGAAGCGCTGTTTTCTTGTAACCAAAGAACTTATGATTAACGTCTGCGCCATTTGAAACAGTAAGTTTTGCAATATCTGTGTGGTCATTAATGGTTGCATTATAAAGAAGCTCAGTCATTGTGTTTTTATCTGCATTGGTGTCTGAAACAATTGCAATCAGCAACTCTGCAATTTCTGTGTTGCCATTTTCTACTGCATAAAGAAGAGGCGTTTTATTTAAATAATCGACTGCATTTACATCTAATCCCAAATGGATGAGGTACTCAGCTTCTTCAATATTATTCTTCATTGCGGCATAGTGAAGAGCGGTTTTGTCTTCATTATCTCTTGCATTGATGTCTGCACCGTGAGAAGCAAGAAACATTAGTGTATTTATTCTGCGATAAATTGTTGCGTAATGAAAAGCGGTTAGTTCATCTTCATCTTTTGCATCGATATTTACTCCTTTTGATAGCATGAGTTCAATTATCTTAATCATATTCTTTAGTGCTGCCTGATGAATTGCACATTTTCCTGATTCAAATTTAATATTCATATTTGCACCATGCATGAGTAGGAGCTCTGCTGTTTCATTCGCACCATTATTGATTGCATAGAAGAGTGCGTTATGGCCATTTTTGTCTAGTGCTTCAATATCTGAACCGTGTTCAAGGAGGACTTTTGCTGTATCTCTGCAATTGAACAATGCTGCAACATGGAGTGGAGTCTCTCCTTTCTCTCGCTTGACACTAGGTTTCATTCCATGCGAAAGAAGAATTTCTGCGCACTCCTTGCAATTATTCAGAGCTGCATTGTGGAGGGGACCATTTCCATTACTATCTTTCACATTGGTGAATGCTCCCTTTTTTAGTAGAATCTCAACAACTTCTATGAAGTTATTAGCAGATGCGATATTGAGAGCTCCACAGTCGCTTTTGCCCTTCTTGTTGATATTTCCGACTTTCTTTATGAAATACTCGCACAGAGGAAGACTCATAAATGATGGGGAATAGACAAAGCATTCATCAGTATCATTTTCCAAAGCGTAATGCATTAGGAATGCTTGCACATTGCAATACTTGCAGCATGAGGCGAGATCGATTCCTATCTTGTGTTCATTATACAAGAATGCAACGAAGTCAATGTTGTGTGAAATGATTGCATACTTCATGCATTCTTTATCTGGAACTTGAAATTTCAGGCACTCACTCATGATTTCTGGATTGCCACTCAAGAATGAGAAATGAAGGCACGTAGGAGTGATCTTGGTTTCGAACTCTGAAATAAGGTACTTGAAAATATTAACTGAACCATGAAAACAGCACAATTCGGTGAATGTATATCCTTCTTGTGAAGCAGGATATAATAAACTCTTCAATCTCTGCTCTGGATCAAATGAATCCTTTTGCGAATAGATTATGAAATTCTTCTTATTGTCTTCAATGATTGCTCTGTAAATAGATGACTCTTCATGAACATCAAATGTGACATCTTTGAAGCTGTCAAAAAGATTTTTATGATTTTCGACTAAAACAACACCATATTCTTTGTAGTAAAAGTAATCAAGAATCGGGATGAGTTCTCTTGCTTGCCTTGGATGATACTCGTTGTACAATTTCTTGAAAATGTTATAGTAAGACTTGATATAACGAAGATTGAACGTTGACAAGTAGTTAAGATGTTTAATGATTTGGTTTGGTGAATACATCTTCTCTTTGATCATTTCGTATACTTTGTTTACTGCATCTTCATCATTTGTCCTAAGAGTATACAAGGCATTGTAAATGGAACAGTTGTCTTTGCAGAGTTCCATTAACTCATCATAATTTGGAAAGATAACTCGTTGAGCTTTCTTTGGCATTTATGATTTTTTTCTTTCATTTCAATTTTTGAGAAGTAATGAAAAGTCATAAATTTTCCGAAACATATAGAAAATCTGCTGTTTTTGAAGCCGCATAAACAATTTAATACAATTTTAAAAATCAATTGAACATTTTCCGAAATTTTGTGAATAGTAAAAGTGACAATCTTAAATTTTTTGAAAATCATAATTAAATTTTTAAACAGCCTTAAATTTTATTGTTCTATGTGCAGTAATTCCGGTTTCATGATTGATTTGATCGATATTCATAAATATGAGCGAAGTTTTCAATTGATGAGACAAGATTTTTTAGCCAATCACTTCAAATCACTTGATGCTATGAATATATATCAAGGATCGTATATAAAGGTACTTTGAAAAATTTAATTTCTCATGTTTAGTTCATATTCCAAAAGTGACAATAAAAGTGACAATGTCTTTTTCCCGTTATTTCAAGGATGACGACGAAGTTGTCCAACTTTCATTAAGTGCGCATATATTCACTCGCGGGAATGTTAGACAGACTACTGGATGTGCTTGCGCAATTTATATCAATGATGATCCAAATTATTTTATTACAGAGAGTGCTTGGAGCACAAAAAAGCCTGTATTCACAACTAAAATGCAAATAATTCCTAAATTAAGTACTCCCCAAATTCTAAGAGTGATTTTACTCGAAATGACTCCAACAATCAAGCCAATTGAAGAATATACTAAATTTGGTGAAGCACGCATACCATTGGGACGTGTTTTAGTGAGCAATGGTGTTGCTGTCACACTCAGCGGAGCTGCAGCTGAAGTTACGATTCAAGTCAGCCAAGAATCAACAGGAAGAGGTGTTTTGTCTATGATTGTTGCATTTTACAATATGCCAAAAGATCATTGGCTTATGAAGAACTATCCTGAACTACATATTTGCAAACAAGACTCAGATTCTTCTCATTGGAAGTCTGTTCGCTCCACAGAAGTCATTAAACGTCAAGATGCCGGTCAGTGGGATCCAATCTCCATTCCTTGCAGATCAATTTGTAATAATGATTATTCCAAGAAAATCAGGTTCAAAGTTGTTGACCATCCAGATGACGGACCTGTTGTTCCAATTGGCTATGCAGATGCGAGTGTACAAGATGTTTCTCAGTTCAGAAACCGAGTTTTAACATTAACTCCTTATAATCCGAAAGTTGCAAGGTGTGGAAATCTAATTGTTCGTGCAGCTACACTTATTGAGCGTCTTACATTCTACGGACAGCTTTGCAAAGGCCTCAGATTTAATTTTGCCTGTGCAATTGATTTTGCAAGCACAAACAGACCAGCAAGAGACTCTAAATCCCTCCATTACACTACTTTTGGCCAAGATAACGCCTACCAAGCTACAATCAATGCAATTGGAGGTGCAATTGAACCTTATTCAGACGGACATCCATTCCACGCTTGGGGATTCGCCGCAAAATATAATAGAGTGATGTCCCAGAATTTCCCACTCACACTTGACGGCAGCGAAGACCTTCAAGGACTCAAAGCTCTTCAAAATGCTTATTGGAATATTTTTGAGAGCATCGTTTTTGACAAACCAGTCCTGATTGTTCCTTCAACACAGATGGCCATTAACAGGGTCAAAGGATCAAAGAATCCAGGAGATTATTTAGTTTTTCTGATTCTCTTGGCAAATGTTCCTGATGACCTCGAAGAGTTTATAGACCTTCTTTACCAAAGTCAGATGGAGCCAATTTCAGTAATTATGGTCGGAATTGGAGATGCAGATTTTTCTGTTTTAGAACAGAGCTTTGAAACCGGAAAACTCGTTAATTCGTCTGGAAAATCGTTCGACAGAGATGTTGCTGTTTTCTTAAGGTTTAATAACTTCGGAATGAACGGTTTAACAATGCTTATGTCATCTGCGCTGTTTTCTATTCCAGATCAGGCTATGCATTGGTTCGAAGTTAATATAGAGCTTGTTTCAAGTTAGAATATATTAGAATTTTAATAAAATGTTGTTTTATTTTGATTATTAACTAATAAGTATTTCTAATTTCAATGTTGTTTGAAAATATTCATATACAAAAATGTCTTAATATCATTAAAATTCAAAAAAATCTCAAATCCTTCTCAAAAAAATAGGATTTATTGAGAATTGCCAATATGTTTTTCCCTTGTTTATTAGTATATAGCATGATTTATTCATTAATTTTGTTCAACTTTTACCTTTTCCCTCTTCTACCGTAGTTTGCAAAAAATTTATATGGATGATGATGAGCGAGAGCTATTAATTGCTTTCGCTCATAACTCATGTAAAAAGATATCACAACTTGGACATGTTTTAGTTTTACTTACAGATGCGCGATTGGACAGATATGCCGGAGAAAGACAATTATTTCTTTGTCAAGATCAGAATTGCGAAGCAATAACAAAGAAATATACAAATGGTAACAAGAGAATATACAAACAGCTTGTTCAATTTCGAAAAAAATGCATCCAAGAGGCATCCGATTATTATGGACAGAGATTTCTCGCGATGAAGACATCATTTCAAAATGAAGAAAGCGCCAAAGCAGCAAAGGTACGTGAGATAGAGTCAGAATGTAAAAATCAGATCGATATCATTCAACAAATCGTTCCATACATAGGAAAACTGACTGAGAGTGCAAATAAACTCTCATTAACAGAATTACAAAATGATGTTGGCCAAGCAAAGGAAAATTCTCAACAAATGAATGGTTTAAACTCAAAATTACGAAAATTATTGAATGATTGCGATCAAATACAAAACGAAAGCCAAAACAGAATAAAGAATATGGTAGATGAGCATAAAACCATTGCAAGAGTATACAAGAAGAAGATAAAAGACGTAAAAAAGCAAAAATATAAAAACACGTTATTAAAATTTAAAGAACGGCTTTCTCAGGTTTCTGATACTGTAAACTCAATAAGGCAGATAATGGCATCGCATTTACAAAACAAGAAAAAAATTCTTTCTCCATTTTACAAAAAACTGCAAGAAACAATGCAAGACTTGCAAAACCAACTCCCTAAGAAAGATTTATCGATAGAATTCTTGAATACAGACAAAGATTTCCGTTTAATGAAGTCAAAACTCGATGATCTTCATCAGACCAATCAAATTCAATTTTCTGATGAAATGACCGAAATTGAACGTCAAAGAAATGAAATGTTAAACGATTTTAACAATAAAATCCATCAGAAACAACAAGATTTAAATACTCAATCTTTTGCACTTCAATCTGAGAATGAACAGTTCGTAAGGAACCTTACTCAACGCGAGCAAGCATTTTCTTCGGCTTGTAATGCTGAAAATGAAGCTGTTGATGATATTATTCAATTTCGAAAATCATTTCTCCAGAAAGCAAATGAATTTTTCGGAAATTATGTTAATCAGTTATCAAAAATTCAATCAAGAACTGTTTCTTCAGTAGATTTAGATGAAAATGAGGAAAAATTTGAAAATTTCAAAAATGATTTGGAAAAAGCACTCCAGATGAGGGAGAAACTGATAGACGATGCCATAAACATGCCAGAAGAAAAAGACTCTGATTACGAAGAAGAGGAAGAAGAAGAAAATGAAGATTTAGAAGAAAAAAATTTCCGAAAAAAGGAAAAATACGAACAAATTTATCAGGAAAAGGAGAAAGAAAACAATCTACAGGTTGACAAAATGCTTAAGCAATGCAAGACAGAGCAAACAAACCGTAAGAACAATCATAACAAAGAGATTGAACACAAATTATTAATATCTAAGTCAAAATTGGCCGAAGACAAACAAATGAAGGACAAAGAAATAGAGCAACATAGAGAAGAAGTGATTGCAAAGCTCAAATCCCAGCCAATCCCTGAAGAAGATGAAAATGAAAATTTAAATGAAGAAGAACAAGAAGAGGAAGAAGAATTAACCGAAGAACAGAAGCTCAAATATTATAACCAACAGAAATCCGCTATGCAGAAAGAGCTAAAATCAATGGATAACGAAATCCAAAATTTTATGAACGAAAATCAAAAATTAATTCGTACATTAGATAAACAACTAAAAGATCAGCTTGAAGCAAAGAAGTCATTTGTTCAGAATAGAGGCCCCTCGAAGGTTTTGAGTGAGTTAATTCAACAAATAAATAATGATGAAAAAAGTTTTTTGTCTTCTATGCAGTTTAAGTCGAGAGATCAACTTGATATCATGTTACAAAAGTTAATTACTGCTCAAATCTCAGGAGAATCTGCAGTTTTTATATCTGAATTATCTTTAATGAAAAAACATGAAGAAAATACATCTCAGATAGTAGATACTGAATTAGCATTAGAACTAAAGATGAGTGAATCTCCAATTGCTGTAATTGACAAAAAATATGACTCACAAATGACATCTTTGATGCAAATCTTGAAAGGACGCAAGGAAAAGCTTGATACAAAGAAGAGCAGTCTTAAAAGTAAGTATCGAGTCAAAGATTCGCCGTTTTTGAACGAAACTCGAGAAATGGATTTGAAAATTTCTGTTTTTACACAGAAAAATGAAGACCAACTTGACAAATTGAAGGAAGATTATGCTAAGAAGAAAGAACAGCTTATTACTAAGCATGAAGCCATGAAAAAGAGCATTCTCAGTCAGATTGACCAAGAAAAGGCAAAACAGCAAGCTTTAATAGAAAATAATGAAAAAGAAGTTGAAGAGTATCTCTCTCAGATCGCAGAAAAAGAAATTATTCGACCTCCTCCCAAAAAATTAACTTTTGCTGACCAAATTGTCAAGGTCTCACAAAAAGAAACTGATCTGATGATGAAATATTTATCTCCTAACGGAAATCCCCAGATTTCTAATGTCCAAAATAAAATTAAAAACATTCAACATGAAATTGAGACATTTCTCTCAAATGATAATCTCACATCATTTGATATCAATGAAATTGGGTCTAGGAAGCCTCAAAAATCGTCACGTGGTGGAAGAAAGTCAAATCTTAATGTTCTTCCTCCACTTCAACCTTTGTAAGTAAATATATCATGTAGTATTAATTTCTTTGCTAAGACTATTTATCATTTTTTGCATCATCTATTCGATTTGACATGGAAAACCGAGATCAAATTTAAACCAAAAAGAACAAATGATCATAGTTATGTTTTCCTCTTGTTTTTAAGGAAGATGATTTGAAAATATCTATGTAAGCAAATAAAAAACGTCTAGATAAGAATAATTTTTATATATTTTTTATTTTATCTAACATGTGATAACCAAACAAGATTACATATAGCTATATATGATGTTCCTGAGAACAAATGAGTAAAAAGATCGAGATCGTTATTTTTGCTCTTGATTTGGCTGGAACACTAATGGAGCGGCTTGTGATAAGCAGCTTTGGAAATATCTGAGTTGATCACGTAAAATTTCATTTTGGGCTTGTAAGCCACTAATTTGCTGTTGTAATTCGACGACATGTGTTTTTAGATCGCCATTATCAGTCTCTAATTTCTTTAAGTAGTCTGTTTTTGTCTTTCTCCATCTTCTTGGTCCAGCATCACCAGTCATTAGAATTAAATTTTGAGTTTTTTGCTCTATTTCAAGTGGTAGTCCAGATATTTGTTCATGTTGAGGTTGGTTATGTACTGGGAACATTGGCATTTGTTGTTGAAAGAGGCCAGGAGGAATTGCAATTGAAGCCATACTGGTGTGAACTAATTGAATTTAAGGGTGCACACGAGAGGATCATGTAAACTTCAGAATTTAGAACCTTATTTTTAGGCATTATCTTGGCTACCTATTTAGGCTCGAAAAGCAAAAAATATCAAAAAATACAACTTGACTCCATTCTGACCCTTTCATGGAGGTAGTTTTTCTCCGCTAGTATTTTCCCTTTGAATCTCTTTACAATTCGAAATCAAATTCAAAACTCAGTAGAAGAAGGAAGAATCGACTTACTACGGTTGTAATACGAATAAATACATATATTTAATTATTTTTATTTACATAATAATTGTTTGAAGCTCATATTCCAACAAATTTTAAATAAAAACATTAAAATGTTGAAAATGTTCATATATTTTAATAGGGTTTTGGCACTTTATTGAGGAATTACTACATACATAGTCGAACTGAACTTGATATTTTGAAATTTAAATTATTTATCAAAATTAAAATTTAACTTGAAATTTATAATTATTTAGTCATATTTTGCATAATTCTAAGTAGATTTTGTAAAAAATCAAGAAAGAAAAATTTTAACGTGCTTTATTTTTTCTTTTTTATAATAATACATATTATTATATAATTAACATATTCATAATGTTTCACCCTTTCAAAAATATAATCCTCCTCCTCTCAAATAAACGTACATACGGGTGGCCTCTTTTTTCAAAAAATTAAAATTTGAAATTTTCTCGTAAACGAAAAAGAGGATTTGACGCAGTCAAATCCTCTCTCTCAAAAAGTGGACTTTACATGGCAAATTTCAAATGCATGTAAGGTCCACTTTGATCAGTTTCAGGATGGAATTGGAGGCCATGAGGTACTGACATTGCATCAGTATCTCATAGCCTCCAATCCCTTCAAAAAATGGGAGAAACTTTGGTCGAATAATTTAACATTCGGCCAAAGTTTCTCCCATAATTAATGAGAATGAAAGGGTAAGAGGCATATAGGGTCACTATATACCTCTTACCCTTTCATTTTCATTTGGAGGTCAACAAACCCGGAGTTAATTGCAAACAATTAACTCCAAATTTGTTTATGTTAAGGAAGGAATTGGAGGGTAAGAGGTACATAGTATGAATATGTACCTCTTACCCTGCAATTCTTCTAGAAAGTTCCAAAACTTTGGGTTAATTGCAAACTATTAACCCAAAGTTTTGGAACTTTCAAGTGGAGATGGAAGGCTTTGGGGTATACATTAATATAATATACCTCAAAGCCTTCCATCTCCACTACAAATGGGAGAAACTTTGTCCGAATAGTTTAACATTCGGACAAAGTTTCTCCCATCTTTCAATGTAATTGCTACCTGTGAGGTACTGACTTGAAGTCAGTGCTTCACAGGTAGCAATATCCAAAAATTTAAAAACATTTTATCAGTTCGTTAGAGAACTAGAGCCTCCTAGGTACTGAACCAGAATCAGTGCCTAGGGGACTCTAGTGATCTATATAAATCTGAGAAACTTTGAGGAAATTGTTCGACATTTCCTCAAAGTTTTTCAGCAATTTAGCGAGGAATGTTCGTTATCGTGTAGATATTTATAATATATACATGATAATAAACATTCCCCGCTAAAAGATGTAAAATCTTATAAGAAATAATTGCAAAAGAATAACAAATTGCAACAAATTTTATATGAAACTGAACCTTATGAGGTAGTGATTCAAGATCACCGCCTCATAAGATTCAGTTTCAATCTCAAGTATCTCAAAAGTAAGGCTCTATTTTTTGCCATGTAAAGTGTCACTTTACTGTCAAGCCGTTTTTATCGTTTTCGTTTACAACAATTTTGGGCTCAAATATTAGAGATTTTTTCAACCTTCAACGATATATGTTGTCTATATCAGACCTCCTTTCTTTTTGATACTCAACATTGTTCCTAAATCTTAGCCGTTAAGGCTGTTCTGAAAATATTTTTTTTCGAAAAAATTCGAAAAAAATTCTTAAAATTCAAAAATCCCTTAATTCCTGAGGATTTTGGAAAAAAGTTTTTACATGAACATGTGTATATTATATGAAGTATATTGATAAGGTAAAAATCAAATTTTATTGCATATTCATCGAGAAAATAAACTAACGAATCCCTCAAAATTGAGAGAGTAATCCTCCTCCTCTCAAATAAACGTACATACGGGTGCACCCTTAATGATGCTGACATGAATCATCCTAAAGTCAATGATAATTCAATTGTCATTGAATTTTTGAAAACACCCCATAAATTTTAGATCATTGAAATAGCAGTATGGGTGTGTAAAATGGAATTTTAGAAAACTCAGCGAACATAATTGAATGGGACGATAAAAATCTAAAAAATCATTATCTAAAACAAATTTTGGCAATCTGAGGAGAAAATTTGAAACATCTTGACTTTTAATATCAACTGTACAATTAGTTAGTATATTCATAAATGAGGATATCTCAATTAACGAAGAAATAAAATTTTTAAATCTTGACTTTTGAAGGCGTCAAAAATTTTCTCACTGGGTTTTCGTCTATCAATCCCAGCTCATTATATACGCAACCAATCAAAAATCTGATATGGGAGTCCAAGGCTAACTTTTTGTTGTCTACCTAATAAAAGAGGAAGCAGCATTAGTGAGAATAATCGCAAATATTCAATTTAAATTATCTTTTTATTCTTAATTTAAAGTGACAAAAAGAATAAAAAACCTATTCTAAGGCATGTTGTTATGTAAATGAGACTAGACATCATATTTTATGTTATGAAAAAAAAATATTTAGAATTTTAGAACAAAATAAATAGAAAAAATAGCATAACTTATGGATGTGCGTATATTAAATTTAATAAATTAAGAGAAATTATTTTTGGCGCCAAAATTATTCGTTAACTCTCAAATTTTTCTGAGTCAATAAGCCGCTAAAAAAGTGTCATTTTGTTTCGTTAGAGAAAGATGAATTGTCCATGTCATCCAATCGGGAACAAGGGGGATGGGGATTAGATGATAAAGAAGCAATTCATGCTCTCTATCTGAAGCAATCAGACTTACCAGCAACAATGTGAATCGATTTGGCTTTAAAGTTAATATAGCAGATCAGCTTGTTACTGGAGAGACTAGGCATTACGATTGATTCGCTGTAGTGCTCTACTTTAATTTAAGAGTAGTAACGGATAACTGAATTCCCAAAATTCTTTAGGTGATCCAAAACACTGTAGCTGCTTGAACTTTGGACGAGCCTCGCACCCCAGAGAATAGAAATCCCAATCTTGCTCATGTTTAGTTGAATTAGTCTGCAGCAGTACAGCTCTGATACCACAAGATCGTGATGTATACAAAGTCACAACGCTATTTGATTCAACAACTAGCTAGTTTTGACATCAAATTGCAAAATTTGACTTCGTTATGAGCTCTTTGTAGCAAAAATACATTACACTTAAAGACTAGTTGCTAGACTGTAGTAGTTTGTTCGTATATATCTATTTTTCCCCAACGTATTGCATACTACATTTTGACAAGACTTGCAACCTTATAGTAACCTCGTTGGGAATTGTTCAAGCAAAGCGTAGGTAGTTAAGGTCGAGTAAGAGTTCTTCTTAAATCTTTCACTGAATGAGTAGGTGTTGGAAGAACTGTTCTCTAAAGCGATACAGTTGCGCTACATGTTCGTCAACTTGTCTAGAAATAAATATATCATTTGTTTTATACGTTTTTTCGTAATAAATCTATTTGTATTTGTTGTATTTGAGTATGAAGATAACAAAAACTACGGCATAAGACGCAGTACACTGGGCTTCGTTGCCATTTTATTTACCATGTTAAGAATAAACTTAACAGACATGCTTTGTTTTCGACGAAGCCATCTAAAATAACGTACATCTAAATAAAACTAAAAAACTGTAAAATTTCTTTATTTGATAGTATACTTCAAATTATGCACTATACCTTCTAGAATTCTATAACACTCTTTGCATATAATTTTTTTTAAAAAAAAGTTATATCTCGACAAAAATATGATTTATCAAAGAGTATGTAAAATAAAACTCATTCGCATTAGTATTAAAAATCGTAAATCTTTCTAAAAAAATTTTGAATTACAAATTTTAAAACTTAAAACAACATTTTTTGAAGCGAAAAAACGAAATCTAATTTTTTTTGGAAAATTTAGAATAAATAGAGCTCTTTAACTCGTCGAATACAAATTGTTTTCAAGTTTTTTCGACCGGAAATTGAACTTTTAGAGTTTATACAATAAGATTCACATGAAAAAATACGGGTTTAACAAAGAAATCACCAATATAAAGGTTTTTTTAGTAGAACGAGATTGATAAAAACTATGGTATGATAAAAAGACGATAATTTTTTTGGCGGGATAATTGAAGAATATGAATGATTCGAATTACAGACATACTCTAGTCCGAAACTTACTATGGTTCGTGACTTATTTTTGACACAGAATAGCTGTAGACTAAGGCTTACTCTAGATCCAGACTTATTATACAATTAAATTTGCTTTTGGAATAAGACTTAATTTTAGTTACAAACTTATCTTAATATCAGACTTATATTTAGAATCAGACTTACTTTAGTCTAGAACTTACATTTAGAATCAGACTTCCATTTCAAGTCAGACTTACTTTCGTCCGAAACTTACATTTCAAGTCAGACTTACTTTCGTCCGAGACTTACATTTCAAGTCAGACTTACTTTCGTCCGAGACTTACATTTCAAGTCAGACTTACTTTCTTCCAAGACTTACTTTCGTCCGAGACTTACATTTCAAGTCATACTTACTTTCTTCCAAGACTTACTTTCGTCCGAGACTTTCATTTCAAGTCATACTTACTTTCGTCCGAGACTTACATTTCAAGTCATACTTACTTTCGTCCGAGACTTACATTTCAAGTCAGACTTACTTTCGTCCGAGACTTACATTTCAAGTCATACTTACTTTCGTCCGAGACTTACATTTCAAGTCAGACTTACTTTCTCCCGAGACTTACATTTCAAGTCAGACT